CAAGGTCGTAGAGCTTTTCAATCGTGATGATGATTAGAAAAATCGATGAGAAATGGAGAATTGAACTTTTTCTGACATAACACAATTTGAATTAAACAAGTCACAAGTTGTTACGACACAAATTATTTCGGTTAAATTTAATTAAGAAAGTTTTTCAGGTATGATTAATTGGGTCCTTGGAATCGGTTAAGGGGACAGATATTTTGATTATAGTATGTTCTGATTTTAACATGTAAATCGTAAATGTCTCTATTTCACCGGTCGAATTGCTCCATAGCCGTTTTGTATGATCAAATTGTAGCAAGGTTTTGCAAGAAAACCGGACAAATCGTGACCTCTCACAAACTGTTGTCCACGAAATTGAAATGGTAGTCTGGCTAAACGTGCACATTTTATATATTATTATGAAAGAAGTAAACTGTATCATTTTGCAACAAAGGGTAGTTTATGATTTTCATAGCCGACAGACATAATTATCGAATTTAATCAATTTAATTTCTGGTCCAGGAAATTGTATAATAGTGCGAAAACTTCTTGTTTTTTTTTTTCTCTTATTGACAACAAATTAGTTGGGTGAAGTTAATTGCTTCCGCGAGGTTAATTAATTTTCTCAAATAAGATATAGTAACGTAATATTGTTTTAAACTATTTTGTTACTAAATTTGGGTTAAAAGCGTGTTTCTAATAACACTGTTTTTGCGAAAGTTTGTCTCATAATTTTTGATTCATGTGAAGGAGTGGTAGTTGAATCATTGTTAATTGAGTCTCATATTTAAGTAATTGACTCATTTCTGGTAAAATTGTCTCTATTCAATTTGTCATAACAACAACAATAACTCGTAATTGTGTTTAATTTTAATGAGGTGATTTTATTTGCTGAATACATAAATCATGAACCGGTCAGATTTTCTAAAATAGATTCTCATGAACAGAAACAGATCGATTTAGTTCCACTGGGCTTTTTATCAAGAAGACTTACTTCATTTTTTTTCCCGTTACTTTACCCGTTTTAAAATCGTCATTACAAAATAGTTTATTGTACAAAAATTTATGGAGAACGAAGGTAAGTCATACATTAAACATAAATGGGAATATGCTACACGGCGTTCCCATCTTGATGCAATTAATTTAACGTGGTTTGAAAGTTTAAGTATTTGGAAAATAAATAAATTTTTAGTAAGACATATTATGAACAAAATATGTAAAATATTTCAAAAATAGTTCTAGGAAATCCAATTTTTTTTTGCAAGCAACTTATGTTGGTTAAAATTTACCATATACGAAAAATCTTTATGAAAAACCTTCATTTTTTAATTCAAAACTTCTAAAGTAAAGTATTATATTTTATGTTCATACTTCTTGTTTTTTCATAATTAAACTTGAAACACTTTTCACACAAATATAATTAAATATGTTGCCCTTTTAATTGATTCTCCTGATTATGATAACCTAGAACTGTTGCATAATTTTTTACAAAACTGTCAACAGGTTACATATTTTATGATTTTTTTATTATATGGAGTAAAACAGCAATAATTACTTTTATAGCTTTATTAATTCCCTTATGTAATCTTTTCCATATTAATGTTACAATTTTCTGCTTTTTTAATACCATCACCTTAATTGAAAGGCACCGAGGGTGTGTTTGATAAAAAAAAAAAGAAAATAAATTACTAACAATGCAAATCTTATGTAACAAAGAATCAAGACTCTTTAAATTTACAAAACGGAGTCAAATCAGATCATTTTAAATTATTCTTTTTGGATTGTCACTCCGTTGATTGATGTTGGAAAGTTAACAATAACGATCGTGTTGATAATTCGAATTTGTGAAGCAGGTGAAATGATGTAATCGAAAGAAACCGAAAAAGAAGCCTCGAGGGATCCACTATTTTTTCTAATAACGGTAATTACGAGTAAATGTCAGGAACCGATAATCAATGTCAGGTTCAGGATTTTGGTGAAATTCGATCGTTGCGCACCTGTTTTTCTTTAATTGTGTCATAAATCGGATCGTTAACCCACATGGGTGTGTGATTGTTAGAAAAAACATCAGATATAATGCAACTGTTGGGGCGTGGCAACTTCTATGCCCCTTGTGTCACTTGTTATACCGAGTAAAAGGTGCACAATCGTAATTCAGATCGGGTTAAATGTCAGCATTGTTGCTGAAATAAGAATTATTATCGGTGTGGGTCGATTGTGTTTGAAATTTTTTTTATTGAAATGCTTTGAATATTTGACGGTAGGTCTCGTTTTCCGGTAGTAATTATAAACTTGGGTTAAATTTCTTCATAAGTTACGTAAATTAGCGCGATTTCGTGTAGTATCTAGACTAGTTAAGGCTTCTGATTAATCGTTGAAAATTTCCATATCTTGTGGAATTTCAATAGAAAACTGAACGTTACTTGGGTACTGAAAGTGTAATAAAGGTCGATTTACAATAAATCCAATTTAAAATGGGTCTCTCGAGGCGTGGCTGCTTGCAACCATTCCAACTCAAGGTCCTAGTGGTGGTATTAATTTTTTAATATCAAACCCTAGGGAAAGCCTTCTGATTTTTCACACAAACCAGGTCAATGCTCGAGGCTAGTAACATTTTGCGTTGGTTGCTTGACCGCACATTGAAGTCTCTCAATAAAGCACAGATTAAAGGATTTTTTCCTGGTGTAACTAATAGGATAATTGGTCGAGGAGGCAGGAAATAACGTAAGGTGGTCTCGCCGAATTAGCAGAGCCGAGACTGCAGTTATTTATAATAATTTCGGCGACTTTTCCGCATTTTCGAAATTAGAACTTTTCATAATGATTATTTCTTAAGAACGTTATGAAAATGTATTGTTTTTCATTTCGTGTGTGAAATTACCAATGGATTATCAATTAGTTTCCTTCATCAACTTCCGTTTCCTTCGCTCAATCTACCGGAAAGTGTCGGTTTTTAAACGGTTTTAAAAAGTGCATATTAAATGCTTTCGATTATAGTTTCGAGCCGCGAAAATGGTTTAGTTAATTGGCATAATCGCACGTTTCGTGGGGGGTCGTATTATTGATCCTTTCACTTCCATTTAATGTGTGGACAAGTAAATAATAGGCGTAGTTAAGAAATTAAGATTTTTTTGTCTTTTAATAATTGAGTTATTTGTGTTAATTTGTTGCTTGTGAAGCAATTTGAACATGACTTTTATCAGATCTTGGGGGTAGAGTGCATGGTCAAAGAGACTGGTCTAGGAGTGGTGCGTGTCTAAATCGTGATTTAGCTAAATGTACAACGTTTACACAAATTGGAATTTGTTCCGGGAGATTGAAAATTTTGAAATTATTTATCCGAAATGTTCGTAATTATTTTAATCTGTAATGGTTCAGGAATGATGAAGGTTACCGACTGTTTGGTATTTTAGAATTTTTATAGAAAATTGAATTTGCGTCTTGATTGATTTTTAAGAAAGCGTAACCGACGTACAAATCAATTGTTGAGGATGTTTTTCTGGTCAAAAAATAATACTTGTCACATGTGGAGAAGTTTTCGAAGAGTTTCCGTCGTAGAAAGCTTTTCTCATATACTTTCACTTGTAATCACTTAGCCGTGACAATGAAAAATCTATTATAATAATAATTTCAATTATATATTAGTTTGAAATTATTTGTGTTTACCACTTCTAAAATACGATTATAAAAAATTGTTAAGCATACTGTAGACTTCTTCGAGAGATTTTCTTTTATGCCAATACGTTCTAGGCTTACCAAGTTTTAAACATCGATTCTAGCCCCTCGGGAAATCACTTAACTAAACCTTACAATTTACTCAAGAATTTTATTTTACTAATTGCAACGAAACACGAGTTGCGTAAAGATAATTCAAATTTGTTTTTATTTTTTATAAGCTTGTGCTAATTGAACTTAATAATGACTAATAAAAATGTCCTTAAAAAAATCTAGATCAAGGAAAGTTTGTTGTTATCGGTGTTGAAGGAGTTGATATGCCGGTTTTGGCAGGACATAATGAAAACAAGTGAAATTACAATTTAAAAAACATAAACTTCAATATGGGTTAAAATAAATAGGAGCAAAATAACTCAAGTTAACTAGTAAAAAAATTCACAAATTTTCAGTGTGGTTTATGTAGGTATTTGAAACCACACCACTTTTTCAATGTTGTAACAATTCGTTAAGTAACTTAATGGAAACGCTTTAGTTTACAATAGCCACCTGTCAGTCAAATGATTTGACAAGGGAAACTTTCTGTCAAGAAAGAAAGCGGAAGCATCCCTTTGGGCTATAATAAACAAAATAATAATCTACCTACAGAAACCTGCGATGACATAACGTTGCCCTTGTTTGGACAAAGTGGCTGTAGGTGCTTAAGATGTAGGTGAAGAGTGAACCTTACTTAAATCGGCTGTAGTTAAGTTGATTTAAAATTTTATTAAACGAGTATCGTTTTACATTAAACAATAAAATTCTCCTCCAATTTTTTTTATGTCACCCACAAACCATATCTTGCACCTATCTCTAGAGATCTCCACTAAAACTTAAATATTTTTTTATTTAAAAAACTTCTGGTAACGTGAGCGACGAGTTTCCAAAAGGGTATTTGATTAGTAAAAAAATAGTGACGGAATCCTAAAATGGTCGCAGAAACTGGTGATGAAATCTCCAGAAAAAAAGCAAAAAATCTATTTCTTTTTTTTTTGTTTATTTGTCTATAAAAGATCGTGTACGACGAGTGCTATTTTTGATTTTTCCCTTATTTGAACTAAATTAAAAGTGTAAATTAACGTTCTTGTAAATACTGTGGCAAAGTAACTAGTAAAATTTTAATAATTTATTATAAGAAAGCCCGGGGTGCCAAAACTCCCTTGATTATTATAAGATTTTAACCTTCTAACTAATAATAGGTCGTGTCGTGAAAGAGGGAAGTGATGTCGATTCAAAACAATCGTTAGTAATTAAGTGTCGCAAAATTGGTAAAACAAGGTTAATAGCGATTTCGTTTCTTTTAGAAAATTTGGCACCTTCAGAATTAAAGAAGTTGAGGAACAAACAGCGAAAAGCTCGCAGGAAGGCGGAACAAGAGAGTGCTCAAGCAAGAGAAGCGCAAGTGAAACGAGACCACCATCATAAATCACGCCAACAAGGGGATGTTGAAGCGGACGCACCTCAATTGGACGAACTAATCCCCGATAAGTTGGCAAGGGTAAAAAAAATGAGATAAACTATCTATTAGTTTGTTGTTTGTGGGGTATTTCAGGTAGAAGATCCGCTCGAACAAGCCATCAAGTTCCTCCAACCCCTTCAGATATTAGCTAAAAATCGAATAGAAACTCATTTAATGGCTTTTGAGGTTTATTATCGAAAAAGTGGGTTTCGGATTTAAATTCCATTGTTTGTATTTACTATTTTGTTGTTTTAGAAAAAGTTTTGTTAATGTTGCAATCCTTGAAAAGGGCTCATCAAATCTCACCGCAGAATCCAAAGCTACACAGTTGCCTGATCAGATTTTACGAAGTGATCGAACAAAATAAAAATTCGTGGGATCCGGCCGTCGAACAAGTGGTGACACAAGAAGCCAAACTTTTGTTCAACGGAAAGGACGCCAAACAGCTCAATAAAGAATTCCTAGAGACGAACTCGCATAGTTTAGAAGCCGTACTCGAATGCTGTCGAATGATGTTTTACCTCGACAACAAAACACAAAGCACTGCTCTCAGTCTGGTTACCAACCTAGACAATAAATACGAGGATGTCACTCTACAAGTGAGGCACCTAGTCTAACGACCAACCGACAAATAAATGTACCATCTCAGTCGACTTCCTCTTGAAAATAGTTTTTATGTATCAAAGGAATAAACAATTATTTTAATCCCTAGAATCCCTCATTCAAGGGATTAATGAAGTTTACTCCAGAGGTGCATACAAAACACTCCTCCCAATAGAGTAAAGTAATACCATACAGTTTATTCAATTGCAATTTTAAGAGAAAAAAATCTACCGATTTTTTTCTTGTAGGAGTTTGTTTATGTCAAAACAAAGTCCGTGTTTCATTTATTTTATTCCTGAGGGAATAAAACGTCACTTTATTCGCTGTTGGGAGAAAAATTGTAATCTCCAAGCGAAACTGTAGGTCTTTGGGACTTTGTTGTCCATGCCGTCTGGGATGGCACATTTATTCATAGAGTTGAAAAAATTCAGTGTGAAACTAATATTAAATTTTTAGAATTGTGTAAATGTGGCGGAGGCTTTGCGACGAGGCGATTTTGGAAGTTGTGATGCTCAATTAGAGGATTACATAAAGAAATGCCATAACCGTTTCCCTTTCGCCGCCGACTTCAAGCCGGCGTCGGCGTCCCCAAGCGAGAGCAATCACGTGTCCCAAGACCAAGACAACTGCAACAGCAACTGATGACCGTTCAAACTGCGCCTACAACATTGCAGGGAATTAACCGGTGTCTTAGTGTGCAAGTGCTGACTGTATCATCCGGTTAAAAGTGTTTTAAATGAAATTGTCACATAGGTTGTTGATTTTGTGGTATGTCGTACCTCAGGACTGGTAACTAATTGTTTTATTATGTTTTATTTACATCTTTGCTTTTTTCCTTGTATATTTTCGCATGGAATTGTTGTGAATTATTTCGGAATTAAATTTACCGTTCTTTTTTTAGTTTTTGACAATTTTTTACTCACCTTGCAGTACGCGTTGTAATTCGATTTTAATGACTGTATTGGTGATAACTAGAAACCATTTGTACTGTTGGGTTTTTTACTTGTGTGTTTCTATAGTGAAATTAATGAATGGTCTGGAGTCGCACAGTGACGCTGAAATGTCCACCGATGGTAATTCACAATCAAAATAATGATTATTGTGTGATTCCAGTTTTAGACATAATAATCATATTCACAACATTAAGTTTGTAGATACCCATTACTCGTATTGAAATCGTTTCAATACCATAATTTATAATTATTGTAAATTTTGGTTAATAAAAAATACTTAATACTTGTAGTCGTTTTATTAATCTTTGCTCCAAGAAAAGACATTAGTTTTATAAATTCTATTTTGAGTCGTTTACAATTCACACAAATGAGTATTAAGTAATAATTTCTTATGAAAAGAAATTTGGAATGTATGATACATAAGGTTTTTCATTTCTTTAATAAATATAACATGATTTTCACAATGTGGAAGCCACGTGTTATCAGCTAAAACCTACAATATGTATAGTTTATATACATTTTTATCCAATACTGAACCTCGTAATTGTTAAAAATACAATGGCCACATGTACTTGAATAGTGTGAAGCTTCCCTTTAACTGAAAAAATATGACAATCGTTACGAGGAAGTTTCGCACGAATATAATACATTATAATACTTCTTCCCTTACTAACATTAAGAACTGAGTACGTTAATTAATAAAAATCTTGTTAATATTTATACAAATTAATAAAATTGGTCATTTCATTTACAATTATTATCAACAGGCATATGACTAAGCAGAGCCAAAAATGTGATATACATTGGAATGTTTAAAACCAGTCTTTTTCAAAAAGTCAAACAATGGAAAAAAACTGTTTAATTTCCACCACCTTCCGGGTATAAAATTACAGATAAAATGATAAATTTACATTCTATTCAATATTTAAGGCAGCAACATGAGTTTCCATCTACACAAAAAACCATGCATCATATTTAAAATAAATTGCACCAAAATGACTAATAATGTTTTTATCACTTGTACGTCTAAGCTGCATAATAATCAGGCACTATGGATTGTGAAATGTTGATATATCAATTTTATGAGTCTTCACCGATAATTCAAATTCAGTGATTTGAGCATGAATTAAGGCCAACAGACCACACAGAAGTGAAATCTGTTAGTCTTTTTGTAAACAACCATACGTATAATACAAATACAATAAAATTTTACAGCCAAAATACGCATTGTACAAAGTTAACATTTGCCGAATTAAATATAAAATTATAATAAATATACACAAATTAGACTAGGAATACATTATTGTAGGAGGGAAGTGGACTGCTCAAAACTTCATTGGTAAAGTCTTCATATTGAGGAACTCAGGTTCAAAACTGGAGTTGTCTTAAAACACCAACGATATGCAACATGAGAGCTAAAATTTGTGATTTGATTTTGAATATAATAAAATTATGTATGAACTCTATTAGCGTGGACATGACTTTTATATTAATCTGTTTATTATGTAAGTCTATGTCTAAAACGGCTCTAGCGCAATAGAAGTTGTTGGAAATTCTACTCAACTTTAACATTACGAAAAAATATTAGGAATTACAAATTTAAAAATTCTAAAACTTTTACATTTTTATTTAAGGTATTTCACCTAAAATAAGTTTTGAAAACCCTTTAGTTTATGTAAAAGTATGACTACAATATTTACTTTTCTCTTTGAATTGAATTTTTTGTAACGTCAAATAAATGTAAAGTGGCAATGACAACATTTGTGAGTTTTGAAAAAAATTAAGATGAAACCATTAAATAAGAAATAAAAATTGTCACATATTTTTAAAGAAAAAATGTTCGTAATATGAATAAAAAACAATAATTTAGCGAACAAGCCTCGAAATTTTCGCAACCCCTTCCCTTCCAACATCACACAAATCACTTTATTGGCTAGTATTAATACCTCAATATTGCTAACAATAATTTCAAATTGTAACCGATTTCAACCCTTAAACAAGTCTGAAAATTACGTAAGCCACATCGCGTCTACCCGCAAAATACGCAAGGTTATGACCAAAACTCCTTATCTAGCTGCTTCTGCCTCGACCTCCTAGCCTGCAACGGCACTGTGGGATCCTGATTTTGCCCCGGAACCGGCAAATCGATCAGCGTCGTCGGCGAAAATCTAACACGACTTACCGAACTATTACTATCTTTCGCAGAAACATACGAACTGTCATCACTCGTGAGACTATCAGGCGGCGTCGGATTCGTCGGGGTGTTCCCCCCCGAATGTCCCTGAGTCGCCTGATAATTATTCCTCTTCAAACTCGACCTCAATTTAGTATAACCAGAAGTTTCCAGCGTAGTCGGCCGCTCGAAGTTCGACTCTTGTGAATTTTGCCGCGAGTAGGCGCTGTAGTCGTAGTCGTACCGTCGCAGGTAACTCCCCTCATCCTCCAACTTGAAACTGGGATTGACATTTGAGCCACTCGTCGTCGTCGAGCTGTTGGAGACATTCGAAGGGGTTCTCCGGTGTCCTTGGGGTAGTCTTTGGGGGGTCCTCGACCCGCTGTGACTACTTATACTGCTAGGGTTGTCGTAAGCGTAATCAGTTCCGTAACCGTACATCGTGGTACTACAACTGTACTCGGAACTATACCCTGCGTAATGATCCGCGTAGTGTCCGTAGGGGTACCCCGGATCGGTACGCCCGGAGCAACCCGGACAATGCGAAGGTTCAGTTTGGTAATCCCCCGGAACGTAAATGGTGGCTGTTCGGTCGTAGGGAGGGTAATGCTCGGAGCCGTCGTTGCTAGTCGAGCTCGATTTTCGGCGCGGAGAGGGGTTGGGAGGGTGGTGTTGGGGCGAATCGGTGAAGCGCAAAGGACGTTGTTCTTCGTGTTGGAGGGTGATGAGTTGGGAACCGGTCAACATGGGGCGGTAGTGGCGAGTGGGGCCGTGGTACGTGTTGTGACTATAACCGGATGTTGTCGAGTATTCGTAGTCTTGGTTCTCGATGGGTCGCCACGCGGGCAGGTCGACGATTTCCGGTCTGAAATGACGCAAATTAGTAAATTGTAAAAATCATAATTAGATTTATTACCTGTTGGGTTGCAGCCTTGGATGCAGTGGAGACACATTAGACAATCGCACGTCGTAGCCTGAAGCGACTCCGGCCAACATGGCGGCGATGTTGTACAAAACTAATTCCACAATACTTAACTTTGGTTTCAGCCGTTGACCTGTAATTAAAAATTGTGAGTATTTTTTTAGTCGGTTGGCATCCTTGCTGCTTTTTATGCAACTTACCGTCAGCACTGTACAGGGTCGGAATGGGTACGTTATGCCTGATCGTTCCTGGAATGGGATACTCAGGGCCCCAATCTTCAGGCGGAATGAAATCTGTTAACCCAAACAAACTCTAGCGATTCTTTCACACATTCAAACACAAAACACAGCTACTACACAATAAAAAAACGAACAGAGCAAAATAAAAAAAACTACAAGATGAAAAATTCCAGCATCCGGTTAATAACTTTTGTTAAGTCTTAAAGAATTAAATATTTAGTAAAAAGTAAAAATAAAAAGCAATTAATCTCGTTTGAAATTACTTTTATTATTCTAGTACCAATAGTGAGTTAGTCTAAACCAACAATTGGTACCGAAATGTGTGAAATTGTGTTCACCAACAAGTGCAAATAATCCCAAAAATTAAGGACATGCGAGTGATAAAATAAAATACAGTAATTAAAAAACATTATTACAATGTTTATTAAAAATCAAATTACATAAAATAGAACCATCACCAATGAAAATCAAAAGCAGTTTGAACACGTTTCAAAAACATACAAAAAATCACAAAACATGTTCAAAGGCCATCAATTAAATTAAAAAAACAGCACAGACTAAAATACAAACTACACAAAATATAATAATAATATAAAAACAAAAAGTACTACTTAAGATAAGGCTGAAATAAAATCAATTAAAATATAATCAAATCAAGAACATGCTACTGTGCTTAAAACTAAAAAAAAAAGTATACGTAGTTGGGGGGAGGGGGATTTTTTGACTTACATATTACATTCGGAAGGTTTTCCTCGGAAACGCCTTAACGAAAATTCCCGATTAGAATAAATGGATAAAGGTAACAAAATGAAAATTTCACAGCGCGTAAAAATTTATTTGAGTAAACGTTCGGTATCATCGTGATTATCATTAACATCAGCATATTCTTTGGCGAAATGCACCGAATTGCTGACCCCTCTCGCAATAACGAAACTATCAGTGCTAAACACAGTATCATAATGTGATTCGGTGATATTTCCTATCGACCTGCTCAACCGTTCATTCTGTCCCAAGCCGGGTTTTTGCATTAGCGAAGCGTTATTTGTAGGAAAACTATTGTTACGTAGTGTGCTTCCGAACCGTTTAATTTCAGAAAGAGTAGTTAGAGCCGACATTTTACTGATTAACATCTGCAGACCAGAGCTTTTGTTACTGTCAATTGGGGATGTGTTACCTATATCGTGGGGCTGTCGGCTCAACACCGGCGTCCTCGTCTTGTCCAGATTGGGGGCGCTTTTCGACCACATCGCACTCCTGTTGGGGGCGGGTCTGAGCATCGTTATTTGGCCCCGTTCGCGCTGGTGGCACGTGCTAGGGCCCCACGTTTTCCCCTTTACGCCGTCGGCTGGTACTGAAATATAACAACAACCGACTCTGCCCTCAGTGTTCAATGGCAAGTTTTCGATGAAAGTGGAGGAATTGGCGGTTTTGGCTGGGTTGGTTTGTTGCATGTGATGCGATTTGTACGACTTGTAGACGACCTTATTTGCGCAGGCAATGTGCCAAATAACTTTAATTCCGACGCGACAGTCGCTGATGAGGACGAGGAATGAAATATTGCCCCACATATTACGAGACTTTCTTACAAATTTTATTACGAATGTTGAATTTATTACAAAAAGCAAACAGAATTAAAAGTATAATATATAATTACTTATCCTTGTTTTTTCGTTTTTGAATACAAAATTGAGCAATTTTTTTTGCTTTTAAATTATCAAACATACTTATGTAGATAATAAAGATTATAAAACGATAAACTTTTAGTTCATTGACATTAGGACGTTTTCACATACTTATTAGGAAATTATATTCATACTACAAAACTAGAATTTAATGTTTGAAATTTTAACTTTTTGGGAACCCTCAAAATTCTCCATTTTAATTTTAAAATTTCGTCGATTCACGACTAACATTTTCTTGGTTGTAGAAAAAATCTGATTATTTAACAACACGGTTGCATCTTACTACTTACTACATTGATAGGTACATATTTTTCTTTAAGCTTGTGAATCAAGCTTTTGCGGTCAATTAAACAGTAAACAATAAAAGAAACAAATTTACAATTATTTGTAATGTGTAAAATCTACGTCAGTTTAAAAAAAATAAAATTTTTATTATCGTTTATTGGATTTGCAATTGGCATCAAAACCTGAAAGAAAAACAAAAAAAATGATTAAACACACTATTTTTCCAATTAAATTATGTAAATTCCTAATTTGAGAAATTTGTGCAATAAGAATTTCCATGTTTGTTATTTCTTCAACTACGCAAATATTTCTTGGAGACTGAAAAATTAGTCTGAGATACGGAATGTGAAGAATTCTTGCAGAAAATAAATTTGTTCTATTTTGAGTGTTTTGAGAATTTAAAAAAGAAAACTCAACCGTATCTCAGGTTGTTTCTTATTCTTTTACTAAGAAACTTTTATCGGAAAATAATAGAAATCCAACTTCTGTGAAATGTATTGACGTTTCTTTTTACGTGGATAAACCGAACGCTATTTACTATTTCATGTCCTGAACTCCATATCGAGAGGTTAAACAACGTCGAGTTAAAAAGAAATTGTGTTGTAGTTTTGCTGCAAACTTGGCGAAAAATCAAAAATGCTATTAGCACGAAATATTAGCATTCCATGATTGTATTATTTCATTTCTCAACATCAAATTCGATTTATAAATACGATTTAATTGATTTCTACCTTATTAAAAATTCAGGTGCGTGCATTATTCCGATAAAATAAAAATTTTATGAGATTTTATCACAATTCTGGTACCAAACAAGAATAAAACAATTAAATCATTTAATTTAAATATTTGTAAAAAACGTAATGAACCCTAATCACTAAAACCGGTAACACGTTAATTACGGTTGAAGTGACATTTATGTGACATTATTTTCAACAGCAATTTCAGTTTTCACCGACAAAATTCTGCTCCATAAACTTTATATAGGTTTGTTACTACACTGTTGCTTTTTTATTATTTTCGTAAAATGAAAAATGACAAACGGCGACACTTGGAAATAAAACGCAAACAAAGTCTCTCTTTTATTACATAAGCATTACCAAAACTCTTAATACGTAATATTTATTTATTTAGATAAAAGAAATGTTATGTTACCAATTGCAACAAGAGTTACGTTTCAGCTTCGTTATCTGCATAGATTTCAGGTCACGTTATCTGCGTAAATTTTTACAAACATTAGTTTCAGATGTCAGATAGAAAAAACACACAAAGAAAAAGTTTCTTGTTTTGAGGCAATATTCCAACCACCAGATTTATTTCCAGGTTTATGAATTTCAATTCTATGTTATCGTATTTCGTTTTTAAGATTTATTGTTCGAAAACATTTCTCCCCACGATTAAAAAGTGTGCTCAAAACAAAAAAGTGATACTCTAACCGATCTAACGTAGCAAAATTGAAACTAAAAAAGCACGCTAAAACGAATCTAAAATTCACACACGTGCTAAACCATGCTGAAAAATTGATGAAATAATGAAAAAGTGAAATGATAAAATGGCGATGTTACAATTGGCTACTCACGTGCTATTGCCCTTAATCGAGTTATAGCCGGTGATCCCGGTGGACTATGTGGTGAAATGACAGCTTTGTGGTCGAGTGTATGTTGTACTGTAATTGTGTGTCGAAAATCCGATGGTAGGCTAATGTTCGATCCGGGTTCTTTTTTCAGTAGTTTTAGCCTCGAACGTTTGAATTTCCCTAGAGGGAAAAATCAGTAACGAATCAACAAATATTTCCCCATTGTACCTTTCCGTTTAATCGGAGTTGGTGTTTGTTGTTTAATCATAAAATGCAATTCCCTTTCTAAAAGATCAATTTCTCTCGCTTGTAGTTCCTGTTCTTTCTGCCTGAGTTGTTCCTCGTGCATCCTTTGCTTCATTTGCGCCCTATTTAGATCCTCTTCCCTGCAACGCAACTCCTGTTGGAACGAAACACCAATTAATAAAATCCGTAACGAAACGTTGGCTTTTGACTCGTCTAATTACCTCTTCAAATGATTTACATGCCTGGGATGTTCAAGGTAAGCGGCCAATGAGAAAAGCAACGGATAAATAATGAAGCTTTATGAATGACGATCCCATGACTTACCTTCTCTTTCCTGCGAAGCTCCAAGAGGACTTCTTCGATCTCTTGACGCCAATCATCTTGCATTATATGAAAACTTTCGTGTGGAGTTTGTGTAAACGACGAATTGAAAATCAGTTCTAAATCGAAAAGGATTTGCTCGAAACTCGGCCGGAGGTGCGGATCGGACTTCCAACATTCTATACGAAAGAAAAATATTTTTTCATCACGGAATTGAAACATTAATTGACCTGCTCGCAGGAGAACGATAAGTCTTCATATCGTTCCTGCGATATTGCAGGAATTTCAGAAATAACGTTGGATACCGTTAAATTATAAATTATACGACGCTGCAACTGACACTTTTTGATAAAGATCTTATTTGTGTTGTGGTCTCGGGTTTTCCCTCAATTTCTCTCGTAACTTATTGTCAATGTGTATTCTTTCATTGTTTGCCGACATTTTTATTTTCGGCACGCGTCGCACCTTTCGCATTCAAATTGCGTACAAGGCAAAGAGTGTTACGTTTCGTTTGACGACTATGGCGCGGTAACACAACCCCGGTGAGACCCTCGAAGAGGCATATTTTTTCTTCTATATTACAGAACCTTTTCCAACGACCCGAAAAAGTGCCATCAGAAATTAGCATTTGCAACAGAATCAAACCTGTTTTAAGTTTAAAAAACAAATATGTGTCTACTTATAAAAATAAGTGGCTGTAGTCCAGATTGAATTATGTTATAATACAAAATTAAACATTCATTCATTTCATAACAAACAAAGGAATTAACTTTTCATTTTATTGTGTTTAAATGAATGTATTGAAAATGAATTGAGATTAATTATTTTGCTGTGGCAAGTTTAATACCTTTTATAATATATCGACAAATTATCTTAATGAGGAATAAAAAAATAAGATCAGTAAACAAATTTAGCGCAAAAAAATTCGTTTCAGTTACTTATTGTGCTTTAAAGAAACACATAAAGAAACCTACATAAGCTTTTATTTTCATATTTAATAAAACAATTGTAACAGTGTGATAGAAAAAATATTGTAATTTGTATGATGTAAAGCGTTGTTTATTATTCGATTACCTCGTAGAGCCCTGAGAATTGCGAAATATTCACTTCTTCTTTAGGTTGGATTTTTGTAGAATAAATCTTAATTTTTGTTAAGTAAAAGATTGTTATTCTGGACAGAATTGGAAACTACGTTATCTTTTAGGATAAAATAACGATTTCAGGACCGAAAAAAATCAAGATTGCCTTCATTATTTTAAAATTGGGAAAATTAATTATTTATGATTGCCTTTCTTCAAATTTGCTCCTTTCAATCGGAAATTCAAACAGCATTTTATAAGTGTCCAATTATTACCGACTCATTAATTTATTGCTAAAAATTAAATCTTGTTCCTCCTGTAATAAGTCTTTGTTTATTTAATACATTACTTGCGTGTGAATAATTATCTCAAACATCGCTTCAAATCACGCGAATTAGTTAGATTTACCATAAAATTGCATTAAAACTTTCCACATTCGATTTTTTCCTTCTTTCGCATAAAAAGAAGTCGCCACACTTACTCTCCATGAGTTCCCTCCAAGGTTGCGGACACGTGCTGGGTATGGGTAAGGTGAGTTTGTTGACAGCGACGCCGTAAGCCACCGCCAGGGTGTCGATACCTTTGTATGGAGTTTCGCCCGTTAACAACTCCCACAAGACAACTCCATAACTCCATACGTCGCTCGCTCTCGAAAATGTGGAGTTTTTGATGACTTCGGGTGCCATCCAAGCGTAGGTCCCCGCTTGCGACATCCGCGTTGTTTTGTACACCTCGCGTGCTAAACCAAAGTCCGTTATCTTGAGGGTTTTTGACTGGAGGTCGTCGTTTTCGATCGCTTCCCGAAGGAGAACTACAAAAAAAAACATGTTTTAAAGCGTGAAAACACCTGTTTAGTTTCGCGAAAAGAAAAACTTTCAAGAAGACATTACGACGATCTTGATAAACTTGCAAACATCAAACGTCCCGAAAAAGAACATGTTGTGCATTTTATTGTATAACAAGGCACTAAAAGCCTGTAAAATTAACACATAATTAGACAAGTCTCGTGAAACAATTCGATTAACTGGCAAATTAACTAGACTTATCTAGGGAACATTTATAGCATGGATCCTGTTCTTATATGATGAAAAGTTTATGACATTTTACGATCGCGAACTCGACTTCACGATAGAAAAACGTAACCTTCTTCGGGTCGGTATGCAACAAAACAACATTCCCTAAATGGGACCTTTTGCAATATTCAACACGGAATTCGCATACATCCTACTTCAGGGTGAATAAATGACGAAGGAAAACTCCACAGAAAGCTAAGCAACGGTGCATCGGGGATTTGAGACGACGAATTTTGTTTTTGCGCGCTGTTTGCAAGCTAAAAAGCGCAAATATTCCTATTTTATGAATTTTTCAGTGATTGTGTCATCCATAGTTTGAAAAGTTATCTAAAAAAACATGAATATTCAACAGATTCCGACAAATGTAAAAAAGAGCAGTCACTTCTGAACGTGTCTGCTATGTATGATGCAGATTTTTTCACTGCCAATGGTCATTAACCGATAATAGAATGCCATAATTTGTTAAGATGACGACCATCTATGACAGTGATGAGCGACACAAGTTTAGACTCTTAACGTAAATTATTTCTCTCTCTCTCTACTCATCATATTTCATAAAATTTAATTATCTCATCACTAGAAAAAATTAAAAGAAATAGTGCTGTTCTTGTGAGCCTTTAATAAAAAAGGTACCACAAACTGGATTTCCCCAACTTTGAAACAAAAAAGTTACGGATTTAAATTAAATTAATAAAATTGTTTCATATAGTGTCTATCAAAATGTACATTTTTTAACATTTAACATATTTTTGAGGTGGTGTAGAAGTCTTGGGTTTTCTTTAGGTAGAAATAGATGTTTTTGGTTAATTGTCGAACGTAAAACGGCTTTACAGGCCATCATTTTGCAATAGTAGATTACATACCGAGGTAGAAGGTGCTTCATTACCATAGCGAAATTTGATGACCAAGGCGCAAGTACTGCGGTTAGCAATGAGCCGAGGTACGATGAAGCAACGACCACCAAGGTTTGTATATTATTTTATTCAGAATCATCTTCTTTAAACAACAGAAACCCAATAAAAAATTTATCAATTTTTGAAAAACAAGTTGGGAAGTGGTTACTTTCTTAGTTTCCTGCAATGTGAGATTTTTAAAATAAGTTGACACAACTCTTAATGCTTAAATATTTCTTATAAATTTTGAATCTCATTATGCAAGACCAAAATTTCACATTGTTAAGGGAAAATTTCTCAAGATATTTTATACTTAAATTAAACCAACCAGGTTCTCAGATTCACGGGTTAATCGTGCATTAACTTTAACAACGATCTAATTTTTACTTTGCTTTTTAGAAACCTACCTAATATCGGAAAATTTTACGAAACAAACATTGTTTTCAACTACAAATATGTTTTTTTTAAACATGGAACACTGTCATAATAACATCCATAACTTTCGTTAATAGCTCCATGAATAACTTTTATATGAATTCTAATATTCTTTCTCACTTTTTCTTATCTTCTTTTCCCCTTTAGAAAAATTTTGACAACGATTCTTGGTCAGATTTCCGAGTGGCACATAACAAAAGGGGTCCTCAAATAAATTTCCAATAAAACGCACTGGTGTTTCTTACTCAACCTCATCCAAGATCAACAACTGTACAATCCTCAATGATTTGCACAATCAATTGCAAGAGTGCCTTTTTCGACCTGCCAATACCACGTGACGGTGCAATCGAACGTATCCGAAATATACTTTTTCTTATTTTCATCGATTCGCTCGAATGCATCTTAAATAAACAGAGTCGACCTTCCACCGTTCCGAATTTCCTCATGCATATCTTGTTCTCGTCATCTAGTCGTCGCCTTTTCTTTTTACCTTCGATTTTACACGAGACGACTCTCTCGATCGATTCTCTTGCATAATAATTATCATCGCTTGAACATTGCACCTTTGATATCCGGTTCATAAATGGAGGTCGTCGAGCGGATACGTGTCTACGGAGAGTGGGTCCTTCCTAATAAACTTTCGTTTCGTGATCAATATTGGGTAATTCGCATGGTGGCATATGATCGAAACTAATGTTGTTGAATGTCAACGGGATCCGGTGCTACCGACGGTTAAAGTCCTTTCTTTGAATCGCTTGTGTGTGAAATATGGCAACGAAAAGATGATTGATCGGAAGGGGAATCGTAAAAAAGGATGCAATATTGCTGACTGTCTAGGGAAATACACTGTTACATCATATGCCGTGTAAATGGAAGGATCAAAAGATAGGAAGGATATAAATAGGAAGCGAACGAGAAAGTGTCAGGGTTAATTTTTTCATAAATTGTTATTTCTTACATCCGAGACAATTTTTGCATCTTGAATTATTGGGAGTTTCAAGGGCATAATAAAACCAATTGAATTGTGGTTTATATTAAAATTTTATGCTGTTCCACCCGTCGTGTGAAAATTTATAACACACTTTTCCTCCTTAGTTATACAATAATACATGTTTAGTTTTCATCATAAATTAATTTATTTTCAAATAAAATATTAACTAACAACGTCATTTGATTATTGTCATTATTGTACAGGGTGTCTCAGCTGAGACATAACAGACATTAGGCGATCTAATCCAAGCTGGTCCATCTTGTTACATTTTACTTCATCAAATAAAGGTGCTTCACCTCATTTTTACATTCTCCAAATGGAATAATCGTGCATTCACGAACGTGTAGACAAAGAATCGAATATAATGAAAGTCCCTAATCAGGCGGAATGTTTAAAATTCGGTCCTTTGTTCACCATTGACTCCACCCGTGTCTCAACAATTAACAAACAACTTTCTAATTCCCATTTTACCGTCAAACTAAACCAAACGGCCATTAAAAATATCTCTAATTAACAACACCCACCGGACGCATTGTAATCCCACAATCGACCAACAACAAAATTCCTGATCTAGATGAGGGTAGATATTACTATTTTGTGCCTCGTGCACGATTGCTATCAGCACAAAATTTTTAAAAAAGACCAGGTGTTTCCTTTCTTTCCATTAATTTACAACATGAATGTTTTTCTGTGCACTACAGAATTGTCCATGAGCCATTAAAAAACTCCGATTTTATCATAATGCAACCATTTTTGTATTGAACATAAAACTGGAACTAATAAAATGTTGTTTTCGACTATTAAGTGGCGTGAAAGTTCGACTTGATCGATGAAGAGCGAAGATAAGAAAATTCCTCAAAATTTCCACATTTAATTTTATCTCGATTATTTTTTAGTTAATGTAACAGACACATGATTAACACATTGTTATTTATAGATATGAAATGGTAATTATTTTCTGTTATTTTTAGTTTTCACCATCACTTCTCTTAATTGACCAATTCCGATTCGCCGAAGTAGCGGCCGCAAAATTAATTTATACCGAAAAACGAGAAAAATTAAGTTACCGCTCCTAATGGGAACGACTCCTAAACTCTATGCTAATGTAATGTTTTGTCTACAGCGCAATTTTATGCCATTGTTCGATAAGAAAAGCGCCTATTTGTAACACCGGTCTACATTTCCATGTCGCAGGAGCCCCCCCATCATTGAAATAAGTACTAGATTAATCCCAAAAGAAAAAAAATATTTATTTAATCCTAACTCCAGTCCTGCTCGTAGCTCGTGACCCATTAGCATAGTCCTCCGGTTCGGCGCGCTTACCGGAGCCGTTTAAGGCAATCCAATGTCGAACATATGCAAATTAGAGTTTATTTGAGGCGAAATTGCGAGAAATGGGCTATAGATTGGTATATTTTACAGCTGATGTGGGCGGTAATTTTAGCAATTGTGCGCTGTCCACACGACTATTATCGTTGAGTTTTTTTTTTTGTACTAAAGATAAGGTACAAGAAATTTCTAATTTGCATCTATTACAATAATACGCCAATTAATCCGGTGTTAATGGGTTGGACTAGTAGGTGTCGAGGATTAAAATAACAAATCAGAGTGAGAAGGCGAGCCTGTGCTAATAATCGATGGACGCTAACAGAATTTTTATACGTTATTGCGAAGTGCAGAGATAACGGTATAATTTCTCTGAGATATTTATTACTTAAATGTGAGGACGTGAGGTCTATAAATTCGTGGAACAGCTAGGATTCATTAAGGAATAGGTACATCTGAGATTAGTTGAAGTTACGAAGTGCAACATTACGATATTTCGAAAGATGCTGAAAGTAACATAAATCTACCTATAACTTATTATTGATCCAGCGAATTTCACTTCTAAATTTAATAACATACACATAAAAAGCCAGTTATTATTAAATAATAACAAGGTATAAAAATTATACTTTTCCAAGTTATTAAACATATGACGCTCATAACAATTCGTATAAAATTCCGTTTTAAAAATAGCATTTCTAGTCAAAGAAATAATTTTTGACGTAGGAAAACACGACGTTCACCTTCCTGCTTCCTACATGTTTATCGTTCATTGTACAGTGTGAAATAAATAACTGGGCTAGGCATACCTGTCAATTACATAAACTCTAAATCTTTTAAAATTCCGATCTCTTTAATAATACTCCTCGCCGATATATTTGTTCATTTATTCTTGTTTGGTTTTTAAAGGATCATAAATAAATGAGTTTATTTACATATCACAAGCAAATAATCTAATAAGTTATTCCTGGAGACTTCGTGTTTCCATAATGACAACATTCAAAAAAATATCTTAGTAACGACAAGATCATTAGCAATGATTAAATAAATATCTTCTTCCTCTCAATTATTACTTTGAATTCCAATAAGTATAATTTAATTAAAAGACAAATAATGATTCTAGGAAAATTTCTCACGCTCATGACGAATTTAACATTTTGTACTACATTTTTTGTTCAATAAGAATTTTTTTGTTTTAATTACGTAACATAAAAATTGCCTGAAAAATCTCGAAGGTCGTGATCAGAAATTTATATAAAATCCTGGTATGTTAATTTTAAATTAAAAGCTTTTAAAATATAATGATCAGCACGCTAAGAATTTCGTAATTAGTAGGTAAACATACAATAAACAAATTCTTCATTATAATTAATAATAATTATGTTTAAATATTATATTTGTATAAATTTATTGTTGTTTTGGCAGTCAAAAAATGCAAAATCACAGAAAAATAAACTATTTTAGCAACATTTGAGAGAAAAGAACGGGTGTCAACGATCGCTTGAATGCTATAAAATATTCCGCGCGATATCGCGGACTTTAAAGGAAAACAAAGCGGGCAATGAATTATATGTCATTTGAATTTTAAGCACATCATCAAACACGAAGCGACAATGAAAGTACAAAATGAAAATAACAAGTTCATTTCTTATCAAATATTTTGTCCTAAATTCTTGCTTGCTTGTGTATATTTTATTTTACAACCTTGACATTACATCTCCGTAACATAATACCCATCTACCTGTAAATACCAAAAAATGTTAAAAATTTAGGTCATCTGCAACATCGCATCGTATAGATGTCAAAATCACAACATTTAAATGACAATTCAGTGACGCCATTGCGTTGCACGATAATTAAATACCTGGCACTACCATTTACTCTTATGACCTCACGTGTATTTCTCTTAAACCACTATCAGAAATTGAAAACATCTGTGTGCTTATTAATAATTATACGTTACCGTTGCTAATTTATTAAGACGCAACTCTAATCGTATACACACAATCAATTAAAATTTTTAACACTGTTTTACTACTGATGTAATAAAAACGCAAAAGAGCAACAAAGAATTTATTTAAGTGGGTTTCACCTGATAATTTCTCATGATTTCTTGGAAGATGTTAAAAAAATTTAATCAGGCATTCAACTTATTTGCAACACCTTTCTTGAGACGATTAACCTCGGAGACGCCTAATTGCGCCCAGTCTTCGTAGTTGAAAACATATGCATGCAAAATTAAGTCGGTTTGTTTAGAATTCCGAAGTAGAATTAGATTCTAGCTTGCACGAGCAATCAATCAGATAACTCTACAGAAGAACTCTTGTCATTAGAAAATCGAAACTTTTTAAAGTCTATTTTCTTATTATTTGCTAGTGAAGGTAATGTGAATCAAAAACAGGACAAATCTGTTTTTGACATTTGACAGTCTCTGTCATTTTGGTACTAATGTCAAAATTAAGGCTTCTCCCTGACATTAAGATTGTTATAGAGCTTGAATTACGATTGTTATAATACATATAGAGGGTATAAATATTAGCCTTAAAAATAAAATTACAATAAAATACAAATTCTGTATCCTAGGATATTTGCAATGTTGCAACATTGATAAATTTTCTTTGGAGCCAAGAAATGGTATCTTAACATCTTCAATAAAGTTTATTTCAATAGACTTTTTACACATTTTTTTAAGAACACCGTCAACTGTATCAAAATCTCGACTTTAATAATGAAATTATTTTAAAACTGTTAATTATATAGATTTCTCTTTTCTAAAAAGGAATGTCTATATCTTACTGATAAGAGCACAAATCCAATTTTGGTCTTCGAATTCGTCTTTAATAAAAGATCACTTATAACGTGTGGATTAACACGGGCGCCTTTTTTTCATCATACTGTATAGAGGGTATAAATATTAGCCTTAAAAATAAAATTACAAATGATCTACGTGACGACAACATACGCTTTTGATGTACAATTGCGAGCATTAAATTTTGGTAATCAATGTCATTACCTAACCTGCTCTCTTGTGAAACGAACGTATAGATGTCAAATAGCTGTCTTAAAATTGACGGAACTTTTCACTTTTACTTCGTTAAAGTAAGAGACTGGAGACACAATTTAATATTTGTTAATTAATTTTTGGCGTGGTGTTTTGACATTTATATTCATTTTTGAAAAAAGATTGACAACAGACAAAATTACACTAGAAAACAATTTTTTTTTTGACAAAAAGATGAAGTTTCAAAATGACATTACGTACCAAAATTTAATGCTCGCAATTGTACGTCAGTAGCCCTGCGTTACTTTAATTGCATTTGTTAAAGTGAGGTAGATAGTGTTACCTTACGCAAATACAGGGTGCGCCAGAACTCGCGCCCCAGAGAAAAATTTTAAGGAAGATAAGATACCAGGAACATGAAAAAAATGTTTAAAAAATTCTATCTGTCAAAAAAATTTTGATATTTATTTTTTGACATTTGATATTTTTTTATATCTATTTAATGATACTGATGATCTTGTATATGTTTTTTTACAATTATTTAGTTAAGGGGCAAAAATTTTGCCAATAAAAGCCACAAATAACATTGAACAGAGTTACAATTTAGGATACAGCTTCCTTGCTTCCTCTTTTAATAGCCTATAGAAAAAAACCTTGAAAAATTATTTTTCTAACAGAAATAAATAGAGTCAAAGTGCAAACTTTAAACCCTCATAACTTCGAAATTTTTATAGATAATTTTTTTTTAACAATTTTTCCCTGTTCCTAATATCTTACCTTATATGGCATTTTTCTCTCAGGCGCGAGTTCTGGCGCACCCGGTATACGTAGCGAGAGGGCAACCAGGCTGTTACAAATGTTGAAAGGAGATAGCTATCTGGTACCTCTTTCGAATTATTAATTGATCCAGGCGCATATAATTAAAAAACGGACTGTAAATAAAATAAAAACGTATCCCAACTACAATTTTATGAATTCATATCTCTGTTATAACAAATAACAAAATATTTATTTTACAGCTGTAACTTTAAATTTTTTCATAGATTATTCTGAGTAATATGATGAAAAGGATAAAATATATTCCATTGTGGTAGGTTTCCGATAAGCGAAAGAATTTCGTGACGTATTTACACAGTTGATCAAATTCTCTAACTTCATCATCAACTATGTAGTTGATAGCATTCTCGAATGTAGAAAAATCTCCTATTTATGTTCAACTTACCGTTCGAGCTTTTCAGGTCCCGATGTATGAGTGAAATGGGTGCCCCACAATGCAAATAGTCCATCCCCCGCGCGATTTGTATAGCCCAATCGACCAAAACATCCGGTCTAATCTTTCTCCCCGCCAACACTCTATTTAGCGAACCACCACGACAATATTCAAGCACTAAACACAAATTTGGTTCTTGTAAACAAACACCTTCCAACGACACGATATTTTCATGTTTCAACAAACAGAAAAGTTTCGCTTCTTTGATGACATTTTCCAACGTGACCGAAATATCGGCGTCGGAATCTTGTCTGGCGGCCTTCACCGCCACCTCGTGTCCTCTCCACACGCCTCGATACACTTTACCGAAACCACCGACACCGATCACCTCCTCGAGTTCCAGCTCGTTGAAATCGATCTCGATGGGATGAATGTCCACGATGATGGAATTGACGTTGACGTGGTTGATGGGGTCCTCGTAAGCGACGAAATTCGACGGGAAAATGCCAACTTTGTCGCCAATTTTTCCCGTCCACCAGCCCTCGTCGCCTGAGATCTTCGCATCCTCGGAGAGGACCTCGACGATCTGGCCTTTGCGAAGGGAGAGCTCATCCTCGCCCTGCGCGTCGTAGTCGTACAGGGCCGTCCATAGGGCCGGTGTGATGATGGGGTTGGCGGTACGGTGCGTTCGCTCGCCCACATGAACCGAGCTGACCATGTCTCCATTGCGGGGCGGTTCCATGGACGTCAGGAAGTGGTAGTGCTCCACCAACGGAGGCATCCGTCGAGATCGTCAAGTCTTTAAAAATAGAAACTAATTCGACTGTTTTTCGCATAGATAAGATTAAATAAGTAAACAGTATAATCCGGAGTAAAGTGATGAATTACGACAAAACTAAATAACTAACATATACTTGACCACAACATAATCAAATCTTTGAGACTTACAATCAATTTTTACACCTAGCAGTTATGAAATTTAAGACATTTGCGCCAAAATATGTACGAGTATGTACGAGGGTGGTTCCCTATGCTCCTCCCCTGACTTACTTCTAAGTGGTTGTTTGATTTATATTTTTAACAGTTAGTTAACTGACATTTGTACATCACATCTGCAAAATATCTACTTTGTATCTCAAACCTTTGCTGTGCTGTGGCCAATTCTGGAACCTGTAGAACAAAGAGCCGTAATAAAATACCTCCAGAAAAAGGGTATGACGTCAACTCAAATTCATGAAAACATTGTGGCAACTATTGGGGAGTCTGCAGTTTCTTATGACATAGTCAAACATTGGTGTCGAGATTTTAAATGCTGAAGAACATCCTGTAAAAACCAGCATGCCGGTGGTCCTCCCATAACGGTAACAACAGCCAAAAATATTAAAGAGGTACATACATGATATCGTACTGCAAAACCGACGACTACGCATCAGAAACATTGTGGAAGATACTGGCTTATCATATCATGTGGTGCACCACATACTGAATAAAGAATTAGATTTGAAAAAGATGAGTACAAGATGGGTGCCGAATGTGATCAAAAACGAAATCGGGTGTTGACTTGTGAGCGTCTTTTGGAAAAGTACCAAGCAAACAAAGAAAACTTTCTTAGTTCGTATGTGACCCTAGACGAGTCATAGGTGCACCACTATGATCCCGAACCAAAACTGCAAAGTAAAGAGTGGAAATATGAACTGATACAAGCGGTAGAGAGGTGGTTTGTAGAAGTCGGACAAAAATTTTTCCTGGAAGCTGGTTGAGATGTTGGAGCCACGATCGACCAAGTGCATTATTGTAGGGGAGAACTATGTCAAAAAATAAAAATATAATACCACTGTAGTTTGACTGTAAGGGGGTTAGAGGTGGAGCATAGGGATCCACCCTCGTACCTATGTATTTATTTATTGTACTACTTGAAACTGAACTACTCATAATACATTTTACTAGCTTTCATCTACACCTTTTTCAAGTGTAATTCAGAAACCATCATATGTAATTCAGATTAGTTAATTTAGTTTCAGAAAGCGTAAATTGTAATTTAGATTAGTCAATTGTCTTTCCGAAAGTGTTAATTGTAATTCAGAAGAGTAAAATGAGTTTCAGAAACCATAAGATGTAATTGATATTAGGTAATTTAATTTCAGAAAGCATAAATTGAAATTCAGATTAATCAATTGTATTTCAGAAAGTATTAATTGTAATTTAGAAACCATTACATGTAATTCAGAACAGTAAATTCAATTTCATGTTACATGTAATCCGGAAAATATCAATTGCAATTCAGATGAGTAACTTACTGTTATCTCAAAATAAAGTTTACACATAAACACGAATCATTTTATTTTCAAAACTACAACATTTACATAAACTTGGTATTTTACAAAATAAATAAAATATTTTATTTTTAAAGGGATTTTGATAGGGTAATTTTTTAATGAAAATAACGAACTCTGAATTACAATTGACAAATTCTCACTAAAATGACAAACTCTGAATTATAATTAACACTTTCTGAAATACAATTGACTAAACTAAATTCCAATTTACGCTTTCTGAAATTAAATTAACTAAACTGAATTATATCTGATAGTTTCTGAAATTCATTTTACTGCTTTCAATTACAATTAACACTTTCTGAAAAACAATTGACTAATCTGATTTACAATTAATGTTTTCTGAAATGTACCTATGTATTTATTTATTGTACTACTTGAAACTGAACTACTCACACATTTTACTAACTTCCAACTACACCTTATTCAAGTGTAATTCAGAAACCATCACATGTAGTTTTCAGATTAGTTAATTTAGTTTCAGAAAGCGTAAATTGTAATTTAGATTAGTCAATTGTCTTTCCGAAAGTGTTAATTGTAATTCAGAAGAGTAAAATGAGTTTCAGAAACCATAAGATGTAATTGAGATTAGGTAATTTAATTTCAGAAAGCATAAATTGCAATTCAGATTAATCAATTGTATTTCAGAAAGTATTAATTGTAATTTAGAAACAATTACATGTAATTCAGTACAGTAAATTCAATTTCATGTTACATGTAATCCAGAAAATATCAATTGCAATTCAGATGAGTAACTTACTGTTATCTCAAAATAAAGTTTACACATAAAGATATATTTTATTTTTAAAAGGATTTTGATAGTGTAATTTTTAAATGAAAATAACGAACTCTGAATTACAATTGACAAATTCTCAATTACAAATGACAAACTCTGAATTATAATTAACACTTTCTGAAATACAATTGACTAATCTGAATTCCAATTTACGCTTTCTGAAAGTAAATTAACTAATCTGAATTATATCGGATAGTTTCTGAAATTCATTTTACTGTTTTCAATTACAATTAACACTTTCTGAAATACAATTGACTAATCTGAATTACAATTAACGTTTTCTGAAATATATCTTACGCTTTCTGAATTACACTCAAAAAAGATGTAGAACAGTAAAAATCAATAAAGAATTAAAATGCAATAAGCAGAAACGGAGCTATATACTTTGTGTACTACACAAAGAGTATGTAGTACATTATAATTCAGTTTTTTAAACTCCAAAAAAAGTTTTTTTTATTAATTAATTGAATCAACATGACGATTTTATAAAATTGTTGCTCGATTATATCTTTGATTGTTTGTAAACACAAGTGTTTGATGTGAACAGACGCAAAATCACATTGTTTCAAAAGAAAAAAAATCTATTGAGATGTATTGAGAATTTTTCTACCTTTCTACAAAAATTTCCTAGAAATATGTCTCACAAAATGTTATGTAAGCGAGATACACCTCCTGAAAGAGATGCGTTTTTAATGGAGTTTTTCCACTATTGCAGAATAGATAAAATTAATAAAGTTGGTACAGCTGATAACCTTTAAACACCTGAACAAATTCAAAGTTCAGTTGGCGAAATTTTTAATCACGGGCGTCTTAAACGGTAAGACAAATTTAATTTTTAATGTTTATCCTCTTCGTGATCTGAAACACATATTGTAAACTGATTTTACTCAGTAAGTTGTATCGAAGAAACGCAAAAGACCTATTTTTTGTGAAAAACTATGAAATTTATAACTGTGTGGCTGAAAGTGGCAAGAACCAACAGCCAAAATAGTTAAGGTACTTTTTACCCTAAACCCCCAAGTTTAGGACGCTCCTGAGTACAAATTTCGACATTTTATCTTTGAATTCGTTTGGGTGTATAAAGGTTATCAGTTGTACCAAATTTTGTAATTTTATCTACAATGGTTTCTGAAATATTGAAAAAAATCCATTTAAAATGCACCCCTTTGAGAAGGTGTAGCTTGCGTAGCATTTTTCGATACATGTTCATAGGAAACTTTTATCTTAAAATTGAATATTCTATCACCTGTTTAAATTTGTAACAATAAAAACAGAACAGCCTGTATATTTTCATCAAAATGAATATACGGAATAAACAAAGCAAAAACTCTCCATATTGTTCAAGAGTTACTTGATATATCAAAAATTAAATTGTCAAATTTATTTTTGTGGTAAATTCTGACATGAGTCCGTGATATATGATTTGTATAGGTAAGTAAACCCCAAAAATATGTCATTTCAGAATGTTTTGAGAGTTTTCATAGAAATAATTCAATTTGTATTTTAATTTTTGTAAAGTAATTTCTTACATCTAGTTAACATACAACATACGTCCTCAACTTGTGCGACCACTTGATAGAAGGACTTTTAAATCGCTCTGTACATATTCACACGAAAATAAGGTGGAATTCTTGGAGAATTGAATTTTTTATCGAAATTAGATCTAAAACAAACCGTAATATTTTATAGCTTTTGTGCATAAGTGTTAAACTTATGCTTTTTCGTATTTCCTTTCCACAAAAACAAAATGTTCAAATTTGTTGCGTTGCGTTAAATGGTATTGATATACAGGGTCGCTAAAAAGTATGGATACAGTCAAATATAATAAAAACTATTCATGCTATATGCTTAAAAGTATTTATTCCATCGCCTCAGATGTTTATAAAATTTCTGTCTCCATTTATTCTGGGGATACAAGGCTAACTTGATTTTTTTAATGTCAAGAAGAAACTTTATATTTTTAAGAAGAGCATTTTTTTCTGAGTTCTGTGATGTAACACATGCATACCTTATTTAAAAAAAAAACTATAGAACTAATTAAATTTTGAAAAATGTATTTTATTTTAACCTTGGAAATGTTGTCTTTATCTATAGTTAGCACTTTGCCCGCCTGAACTTTGACCAAAAAATAGGTAAACTGTTTCCCAAATTTCAACGTGCTCTGCTAAACCATTCTGAAAATATTTAGCTGTATCCATACTTTTTAGCGACCCTGTATGTGACTATTATCATAAAACGTCCCATTGATGAAGAAAATTGTCTCAGATATGTAACTGATGTTATACAGGTAACTAATTGTATTATTAAAAATTTCATAATTAATTTGAAAGGTCAAAAGAGGGTCAATATAACGCGACAACAGAGTATCAAATTTCGAAAATTCAGCAATGAAGAATTGTAAATATGTTTACTCAAAATATACATTACAGGTTTGTAATTTATAAATCGTTTCCTACAGATTATTACAACCAAAAATAACACTTTATCATTCAAAAGCTAAAAATATTTCACAATCGACATAATCACACTAATACCTCCTGAAAATGTTTCTCAAATACATACGTTCATTCATCCACACAAGAAAAACCCATCAAATAACAATAAAAATAGAAACTTAGCGACTACATTAAACATTTATCACAATCTTGATAACATTCCATCAAAGCTCAAATAGCACACGGACTTCAAAAGGACTGTATTTAATGGCACCGGAATAAGGAAAACTTACCTCTAAATATACGTACGTCAAAAATGTTATCTATCGCCTTGTGGTTATTTTAAATAACATCACAATTTAGTCGTTTTGCGATCACGACATAAATGTTTTAACGTTGCCACACTTTAAACACATGTTGCGAGCGAAGTCCGATTTCGCGGGAATCCCTAATTTACGTAAATTTAAAATTTGCAACAAGCAAACCTAACGGCAATTCGTAGTAAAAAATTAACACTTCATCTAACTGTTATCCTTTTAATTTGTACCAAATGCAGGAGACCGTATTCATCACTTTGACAGAGGTCAAATAGCCTACCACTTTATAATAAATGCACCACAGGACATAACTTTCTTTTTAAATTCAGTCTCCGGTCAATCCTCGTCAGCCGCATTCCGCACGAGACATCTCACATCTTCGGAATTTGAACATCGTTCGAGGGCTTCAAACTTTTTTCTTTCATTGATCAGACAGATTTTCTTCAAGTGAAAAGAATACACGGATAATTTCTAAATTTTATTTAAGAAATTTCTCCTAAATAAATATATTGTTTCTATTATCAATTTTTTTACACGAAGGCTTCCTTGTAGGTAATTAGCAATTCGAAAGCGGAAATCGATTAGGAAAAGTGATAAAGCGGATGTCGTTCCTGTCTACACGAGGATTTGCAATAATCAATGGAGAAGCTTAACTGTTGGCCAAGTCAACAATTCAAGAATAAACTAACAATTAATGAAAGTCTTACAAGTAATCTTGTCTAGTTGGCTTTGTCGTGAAATTAATTAAATGTCAAATAATTGTTCAAAGCCTACTTAAGCAAAAGTAAACAAGGTCTCTAGATAGTGAAAAACTTTGTATTATACACATTGCAATTATGCATTAGGGAATAAATTCTGTAGCTTTATTCCGTTCCAGGGCTAATTATCAAGTCTAAATCTTGGTTTAATTGTCCATTAAACAGGAAACGAGCGTCTAAAATTTCGCTGGTTCATAGCACGATTTCTTGCTAAATGTAACATGTGTCTTACCTCCGTGTCGTGTGGTTGTTAATTAATCGTCGGTTTCGCCTTTTTGGGTCTCGTGTCTGTTTGTTTTGATTATGTTTGTGGTCTCAACAAAATCACAAAAATGGAGAGCAAGCGTGAAACTTAATTACCAATTCAACGGGACACTCCTTTGATAAATCCGAATAAAATAAACAATGCCCATCTTATTTTGAATGATAAGGCCCGGTTGACAGCACAGACAGAGCCAGGTGGTCGCCAAACACAACATACATCCAAAACAGCACCCACTTTTTCACATAGTCACCAACACTTAAACACGTCCCCATTGATTTACTCCGATGTTTTACCCAACACTAAACACTTTAATTTTTATTTACATCGTTTTAGTTTTAATTTAGTTTCGCTGACTATCACCACAACTCACTACTGCGGCCATATTTTTTTCTTAACCACCTCCTGCTACATAGGATACTTCAAAATTTAAGAATTTACCGACTGAGGAAGACAGGTTCAACGCCCCGATGAGTGACAGGTCGGACTCACAGCGACACCTCACGATATTCATCTTAAAAAGCATTGTGTATAATTGGTTGCATACCACCTTAAATAAAATAAAAATTTGCAACAAAAAAATACAGAGTGGTTATAACTGATTTTCATCTAGCCAGCTTTGGAATTTTTTTGCATGTAACTTTATTTGTGCCGCTCTACTTTTTTGAAAGCTCTAGTTCTGTCATTAGTGTCACTTATTAATTAATAATAAATTGTTGTTACTTAATTTTTATTGTTTCAACTAATTTCCAATAATAATTGATAATAATGTATACTTTGAAAGAAAACAAGTTTATAATTGAAGTCTATTTTCGAAGTGGACGCTTAGTAAACGGCGATTTTTTAATTTTGAGTTACAACAAGTAGGTACCCCTATTTTCGTACAGCAGCATTTTTTATTTTACATGGAAAATTCACAGCTGGCTAGATGAAAATCATTTATAACCACTCTGTACAATGTACCTAATTAACAAAAAGAGGTAACCAAGTTAAACTTTTTGCAAAATTCGATGCTTCTTTGCTACTTGGTGACCCCATAACAGGTTTTCTTATCAATCATCATATCAATCATCATCATCATATCAATTGCAAATTACTTATTTGTTCCATAATTTGACCATTCTGTAAAAATACAGGGTGTTTCACGTAATTTTACGAGGCCTGCGCCTGTAACATGCAATCAATAATACATATTCCGATACGAACTCGATTACAAATTTTGAAACATTGGATAATCTTCTCTAGTTTGTTCACCCTTTAAAAAATTACAACGTTTTTAGTTAGTTAGTGATTAAGATAATTAAACTAGAATCATATTCATGCCTTCTCTTGATAGAACAAATGATAATTGTTTCTGAAAAACTGCAGTTTATGACTATTAATGAAATAGTGATTAGTTTGACATCTACTGTCATGGGTTTCCAAAAATTAAATAATTAAATAATTAAAAAATAAAAGTCTAAAACTCATTATCACAACAGTTTGCAATAGTCGTGTTCACATCATTCTTATGATTTATTAAATGAAGAAAAATACTAATTATTTCAGTATTAATTTACGTAATTACTATTTAAAAATTACTTTCAACATTTGAATAAATATTTATTAAGTTAGAAAAAAAGGGTAAAACTCATACAACTTTACAAGTAAAAGTATCATTTCTAACAATCTCTTTTATACAATAATATTTTATTTCAAATTCTAAAATTATAAATTATTATAAGCTAACATTTCTAAGTTTACTATCTCTATAAAACATTTATGTATAACTAAAATATTTGGTTCAAACACGTCACTTTTGGTGGATGCGCCGGTCTATTGCAGTAAAAAGGAACTACAGACCACTCATTTATTTATTCTATTGACCCACACTGTAATGGACTTTGTAAACAAATTACTCATAAAAAACCAGATTACATAAATCACTTACTTATCTCTCAGATAATCTTCTAATAATATAAATAGCTCTTAATCGCAAATCACATAGGATTATTTAACTTTAACACGCAGACTTGTCCAAAATGCGTTTAAGTACGCCAGTGATTGTAGCCATTACAGGCTTTTGTATCTTACTTTTGGCCCTATTTTGCACAAGTGTGATTTTTCCCCAACTGGAAAATTACTTAATAAGGAAAGAAACCGCGTTCGTTGAAGGGAGCAAAACGTTTGAAAGTTGGAAAAAAATCCCGTTTCCGTTTAAATTAAAAGTCTATTTTTTCAACGTGACTAATGTTGACGATTTTCAAATGGGGGCTAAACCGATTTTTAAGGAGATCGGACCCTATGTTTACGAGTATAATATTGACAAAATTCTATAATGTCTACAATTAGTTTTTTAGCGAGTTTCGAGAACGGGAAATTTTATCGATAAGTGAAGACAATGACACTGTCAAATATAACCAAAAAAAAACTTATTTTTTCAATAGAGAAGAATCGGGGTGTCGAACTGAAGAAGATACAGTAACCATAGTTAATACTGCTGCAGTGGTCAGAAGATTACTTTAGTTATTTTTCTCCTTAAATTCTATTTTCTAGGGAATTGCTCATAAAATTTTTAAACTAGCACCAGATGCAATGGATATAGTAAACGATGCTTTACCATACCTGTTCCCTGGAATTAGAAATATTTTTGTGACAAGTTCAGTACGCAATATTTTATTTGATGGTGTTAAAATGTCTTGCGAATCGGAAGAAGTTTGTACGATTTAAGATAAAATTTTGATAAAATTCTCAAACATTTTTTTATAGTAATGATTTGTGATGGGTTAAAATCTAGACGACCAGCTAGTATTCGAACAGCTGAAAACAACAGAGACTATTTGATTGCAATATTCCATCATGTAAGTTTATTTCAAAAATTGGTAAAAATAATAAAAAATATTTAGATGAATGGAACTGCTGATGGTCCTTATGAAATAAAACGAGGGCTTAAAGACTCAAACAAAGGTCAGGTGGTCTGGTTCAAAGAAAACAATATGTTGACTCAATGGAATGGTGACTGCAACACAATTCGAGGAACTGATCTAACCCTCAATCCAAATTTGAACGAGTTACCCAAAAAAATATATTTTTTCGCCGCTGATTTCTGCCGCTCATTTTCAGTAAAATTCGACCAGGAAGTGGTTTATTTAGGTCTCAAAAGTTACAAATTCAAAAACAGTAATTTATTTCACATTGAAAAAAATTGTTTTTGTGATAAAAACCCGGATAATGAAGCACCAGGATGTACACCGGATGGAACTATGGATGTGAGTCCTTGTACAGGGTCCTCGGTCATAATCTCGCAGCCACACTTTCTAAATGGGCAAAAATCGCTACTAGACTATACTCAAGGCCTCACACCTAACGAACATAAACATGGAACTTTTATCATAATGGAACCGGTTTGAATAACATAATTTCTTTATAAAAAAATTGAAAATGTCGTTTTAGAAAACCGGTTTGGCACTTGCCGTAAAAACACGGTTTCAAATGAACGTTTATTTACAGAATTTTGACGATGTTGACCTACTTGCAAATGTTAGCGCCGGCTTTTTCCCATTTCTTTGGCTTGAAAATGTATGTCTTCGTTTCACTTGATACTTTTTAAACTCGTTTTTAGGGTGCTGAAGTTCCTCATAGCATAATTGACGAAATCCGAGAAAATTTTAACAAACTGATGGTTTTTGATGCAATAAAGTACTTGTTGATTGTCCTCGGAGCGATTTTGTTAGCGGTTTCAATAATATTAGCAATGAATCAAGACAAAGTCTTGTGCTTCACGAGCAAAAGTAATTCCGTTGGAGCTACTCAAAATAACCAAATTGCTAAAATCATGAATTTGAACTCGAATAATATTGCACTTGCACGGAATTGGGAAAACATCAATAATGCAACTTGGAAAATTGTGGAATAAAGAACTTACCTTACATAATGGCTTGACCTAGATAGGAAAAATGTGTAAACACCCGTTTAAAAATTTCCAATTTATTGCAAACATTTGGAAGTACAACAAAATTAAGTTTAATCTAAATCACATTTAAACTAGATAAAAAAAAAATAAAAACAAACATTAAAATTAAGTACTTGCTTACTAACAAAACAAATAAACAAAATGTTTGAACGGAACTCCTTTATTTTTTTCACATTCACAAGATTGCCCTTAGTAAATTAAAAAAAAAAACAATAAATATTTAATTTTTTAATAAAAAATCACAAAATAAATAATTCGGCTCCATTAATTTTTTTTTAACCTATTTTTTAAAGCTATAAGTATACGATCACAATTTTTGGTCACTTCAATCATTGAGTAATCCTTTGATAGCGTAGTAACTTCCTGAAAACAGTGCAAACCACGATATGATTATGACAAAAATGTTCTTCCATAATCGCCACTTCATGAACCCAAAATCGCCGTTTTCACCCAAATTCAAAATAATGTCAATGACGACAGGGATGAAAAGTCCAAGAGTGGAGAAAAACACTGATCCCACTAGGCCGATTATAGCGTCCAATTTTGGAACAGCTGCTGCGATTCCAGTTACTAAGAACACCAATAATGTCCTCATCACAATTTGGGAAATATTGTGGTATCTCTCCGGAATTTTCGGGGCAAGTTTCCTCCATGTTATGTCACATGGGACGTAGAATTGTAACATAAAAGTGAAGAAAACTGCGATGGCTATGCACATTTTGGCCACTTGGGCCGCACTGTGGGTAAACATTTTTTTAAATAAAATTCAATTAAAACAGAAAAAACTTACATGTCGTGGTTTGGTAATTCCTCAATGACATTCGCTTTGACCGTGTCACCGAATCTAATATAGCCAAACAAACCAATAATTGTGTAAAGAGTTACAACAAAACTCATCGCAATATTTAGAACTCCCGGACATCCGATAAATTGCGGTTTAATCATTGAATTTTCGATTGGTAGCATTGTACCAATTCCCTCCATTGCAAATAACACAGTACTGAAGAAAAGTGGGATTAAGGAGGCATCTTTAAACAGTTTTCGGTCTTCCATTTTGACATCACTGATTCCAGTGAACATGTAATACAGTGTGATCAAAAAAGCTGTAACCATTGTAACATTTGCGACTATAGAAAATGGTACCAGGTGTTTCAATTGCCGGACTTGGCAACATAATGTCAAAGGAATTAAAAGCATAAGCATGTAATACTGGATCGGCCAATCAGAGACAGACGCATAGTGATAATTTACAAGCTACAAGAATTGTTATAAATTGGAAACTTTATAGATTTAACTTACATCTTGTACACTTCCACAAATAAATACTATGTAAACGGCATTTCCTGCATAATAAGTCAAAAGGAGGGCTACGTCAACAAAAATCCTAGAAAAAGTCATAAAATCAGGTCTTGGAAATTTTGGTGCATGTTATTGTTATTCAGGAAGTGTATTTTGTGGATTGCGTGAGGAATAACGTGTTGAGAAATTTTTAGTTGAGGAACTTCAGATAAATTATTAATTACGTATATGATGACACAATTCAATAACACAACAAGTTTATAAATCATTCCAAATATATTTTAGTGAGGACGTTCACGGAACTACTCATTCATCAATGGTTAAATAATTTGTATGGTAATCACGCTCATTATCCTCCACATAGTAGTGATATATTAAAATTCCTTCCATGTGAACTCATTTACCGCACCTTCAATAATCATGTCAATAACTGAGGTAAAAATTAACATTGTTCGGATTTGTAAAGACGAAGGTCATGTAAGTATGGGTTGAAGGCGACAAACATCTACAGAAGTTGTTTGAAACATCTAATGCTGTTTAAGATTTCGAAAAAAAAAACGCAATTTTTATTTATTTGATTTATAACATTATTGATTTATAACAGTATGTCAGAACTCGCGCCTCAGAGAAATATTTCAAGTAAGATAAGATACCAGGAACATGGAAAAAATGTTTAAAAAGTTTAAAAATCCCTATTTGTCAAAAAATTTTGACCATTATTTTTTGACATTTGACATTTTTTATATCTATTTAATGATAATGACGATCTTGTATATGTTTTTTTTATAATATTCTAGTAAAGGTACAAAAATTTTGCCAATAAAAACCACAAATAACATTAAACAGAATTACAATTTAGAATACAGTTTCCTGGTTTTCTCTTCTAATAGCCTGTAGCAAAAAAATTTGAAAAATTATTTTTCCAACAGAAATAAATATGTAGATCATGTAGTTACCTCAAACTGAGGTTATTTCATTAGGTAATTGATATTCCAAAAATATTTTTTTTGAACGGAGTTGTTAAATGTCTTGTATGTAATTTGATGTTTAATGTTTTTAAGCTTTTAAATTATTTTAATGTGAAATATTCTCACATGATAACGTAGGGCTGATGAAGGCCAAACTGGCCGAAACCGGTACCCAATAATAAAACAATTTGAAATTGGGAGAAAATTTTATTTTTTGGAATATCGATTACCTAATGAAATAAATTGAGTCAAAGTGCAAAATTTAAACTCTCATATCTTCGAAATTTTTATAGATAGAATTTTTTTTCATCTTCCTGGTATCTTATCCTACATGGCATTTTTCTCTGGGACGCGAGTTCTGGGGCATTCTGTATAAATGTAAAGAAAAAAATAATAAATAAAAAATCAAATTAAAAACAACTTCAATACCATTTTAAAAATTCTTAAATTTTCAGTAAAAAATTCCTAGAATGTATAGTGAGGTAAAAGCTAGAAGTTCACACATAGAGGATATAACCTCCACTTTGGCGTCGAAAAAATTGAGAAAAAATGCAATATCAACAAATTTTGCACTTGAGTACTTTATCTCAAAGTTTACATTGCTAGTAGTAGGTACCATTTGGGGTAACAAAGATTAAGATTATTTTATATTTCTGTGTCTTTTTTGGCTAATTTTAACTCATTTTTTTTAAACAATGTAATAGATTTTCAAGAGCTAACCTCAGAGATCAAATTTGTATTTTGTTTACAATTTGAGTTGGTGAAGTTTAAAGCTGCGACCTTAATTTAAATTTATTCTACAAATAAAACCCTTTATATCTCAAAAACTATAAACATTCGAATAAGGATAAGTTGACTTCTTTTGACATCTTTTGATCTCTACTATCACCTATTAAAATATTTGCATAAACTGTAAAATTCTCTATTGTCTTATAGCGTATTATTGTTTTTTTTAATTTGTGAAATAAGCTAACTTAAAGTTTATAAAAATAATAATTTTATCAACGCTGTAACTGAAGTCTGAAACCAAAATACATATGTTATCGTATAAACAACCAGGTAGAAAAACAAAGAAAAAAGACAGAATACTAAGAATGAATAAAAGCAAGTAATTTGTAATTAAATTTTAAATAAAAAACGTTTCAGATTAGAAAAGCCGACAATTTTGATAGAACAGTTTTAATTATAAAATGAAATACCTTTTTCCAAAAACTATCAATGCATATTGCTATTTAAATAAAGAAAACTGTTAAGGCACTTTGTTACTAACAAATTAGTTTGTCCAGAAAATAATAAGTTTATTTCTGTATCCTTTCGCGCTCGAATATTTAATTTTTCAGTAATAATTCTCCGTATTAATATGGCCATCAATTAAGCAGATAATAAAGTGTTGAGGCGGAAGACGTGTAATTTACTGTTGCACGATGCGGAAACTCGGAAAACCTTTCACTTCAGAAATATAAATATGATAGGATTCATCGGAAAAACATTTTTCCCGTGTTTGTGTAAATAACCTTAAGTAGTCGAGTGAGTTACTTTAAATTTAAGAATTGTAATTTTATGGTTGCGGTTTTTCGAAGGAACATGCTTTTAATTTAATATCGGTACCGAAATAATCGAGCCTTTAGGAGAGGGAATTTTGCACGGAACCAGTTTCTCCGCCCGTTAGATTCGAATGAGTTGCATAAAGTTTGTTAAAAAAAATAGCGAAAGCTATGTCAGAAAGCCACGGTAAAAGTAAATCGAATTCCTTTCCTATTACGAAAGAAATCCCACATTGAAGACACGCAGTCTACTGCGTAGTAACTTAATTTTCTTTTTGGTTTTCTCCGGTGCACGAAGAGCTCGCTTGAGGCGTTCGAAAATTGCACATCAGGTCAGGCTTTGCAACAAGAGCAAACGGAAAATTTTCAAGCCTGATTTTTAATAGCCCCACAAAAAAGGCTCCGGGCAGGTGCTCCGCTGAAATCCGTGTGACCAACCATTGCGAAATTGCTACTCTGTTATTCCTCACTCATAGCGTGAAGGCAAACCATCAACAACCATGACCCCAAATAACAAAACTGAGCGCACGAAGCGGTACTATTTTTTGCATAAATTGCGTAATTCTGATTCATCTCGTCGAAACATCCTTACCTGGCGAAGTTTGCCAAGGGTTGGACTTGCTTGGGGCCGTATTTGAACACGGCATGGGCCGTTTCGGCAAAACCCAGCATGGGGACTTTGGCCTTCTTGCATATTTCTTGCGATGCGAATATCTGAAATAAACGATTCTTGTAACTTGCCGAGACAACAGCTTTCAAACAAGTTTTGGCAATGTCCAATTATTGACCATCGACAGTCGCGATATTACACCCATCAGACCACGTCAATCAACTTATTGGCTCAAATTAAGCCCCTTTTATGACCACCATTTTGAAAATTAGGGTCAGAATGCTTGGCAAAAAATTATAAAAAGGAATTTTTACGTAGGAATTCCTTACTGATTAAAAGAAATGTCGTTGACTCTTAAACAAGTACCACGTATATAAATATAAAATACATTTACCTTACTCCAAGGTAAACACATAAAAAACAATTTTGTTTTGATCATTTTTGCTGCCTCACAGAGCAGAAAATTTCTAAATAATTTGAATTTTATTAACACCAATTTGGCAGATGTTTCTGAAAATTCACAAACATCATGTTATTGTCTTCCAGGTACTAGAAATTAACTTTAAATAATATGCATCAAATCTTACACAATCTGCTATTTTTTGTTGTTAAGACTATACCAGGTGAATAAAAATTATGGAACCAAACCTTTTTTGGTTAAGCTATTTACTTTTTAGAAAAACTAATTAATGAGTGATAAAGTATCAAATATAAAATTTTTCGAAATTTTCTTTTCGGTTTGAGTTCTACAAAAAATTTTATTTTTTTAAATGACAACCCACTATAAGGTCATTTTTGTTATGAAGGTTATGATCTAAGAATTACAACTACAGCTACATTAAAAAAAAAAACGGAAAATGACAAAAAAATTTAGAGGTTTTTTTCAATTTTTCATGGTGTGAAATAGATTAAAATATTTTGATGGCACTCTAAATTCTGCCGCTAAATTCATAATTTTCCAACCATTTTCCAGGTGAGCGACGATTCTGGCTTTCTCTACTTCACTTAAATGAGGCATTACACAAGTTGGTATTAAAAAAAATCAAGTCTGATGTTTTTTTTAATGTATTTTAATGTTTTAAACTTTAATTTTAATACTGTTTCTTGACATACCAAGATGTATTAATACAATACATACAATGTATGTACAATATATTGTACAATATATTGTACAACATATTGTACATACATACGTGGCTAAATAAATTGAATTGAAAATTGAAATTGAAAATTTAACGACATTGATAGAAACATTTTTGTTTTGTATTGTCAAGTTGACAATTGACAACCACAACCAAATTTACATTTGGAAAAATTTCATTTCACGTTTTTTTGAATGTAGGTGTATATCTAATTTATATTTAATTTTTTGAAAAAATATTTTTACAAAAATTGCAATTTTTCAAAAAAAAATCGGATAATTCAAAATTAAAACAAAATTTCGCTCTCAAAATAAGATCACATTTTTTATTTTACTGTAATTTATATTAATTATTATTTTCTGGAGGCAAATGATAAAAAAAAACGCTTGGTTCCCCTGTATACCCTGTATAAAATAAAATATGTACTCTCATATAAATGTATAAATAAGTTTTTTCAATATTGGACTATGACAAGACCAGTTATATTAAACCTTGAATTTAATATTTGAATATGTGTCAATTATTAAACTTGCGGTGCCTTTTACGTCTTATTTTTAACAAATTTTTATTTTTAATATGAAAAAACAACTCCAAAAATAAAATCGAAATACTTGTTTTTAATAAAATTTAAGTATGGTATAATTAAGAAGTGATTTTTTGTTTATCAAATACCTTTTGTAACTTTTAAATTAAAAACCTTAAAGAAGTAATGAGTTGAGTGGTAATAAAACTCAATTTATGGTTTATTAATTTTTTACTAAAACCCTTTCTAACGACACAATCAATTGATACTTTTACAAATAGGTTAAAAACAACAAAACGTTACTATAAAGCAAAGAAAAACCAACAAAACGTAGTTTATCACAGAAAATGTATTGTGGAAATTGGAAAAGCCCAAGAGCGTCAACACTATCACCACAAAAATTTGAAATACGTATTAACTAAATATGTACATACATTTCATTAAATAATTTGTTGACGACCTAGACTTTAAATAGCAAATTTGAAAGTAATTCTATAAAAGTGAAAATTTGAAAAACCACATAATTTTTAAAATCTCATTAGAAATCTACAAATAATAATTGTGTACAAAATGACCGTGTTAGATTGAAAAATAATGACTTAGATTAGCCACTATTTAGCCATTAATTAAATAAAATTTATGATTCATCTCATAACCCACGAGTAAATACGTAAAAAATTAACCGCAAAGTTAATTTCTCAATTTAACAAAATTGTTTTGCTCTATAAACATGTACTTGATTAACGATTTTAATTGTGAAACACAAATACCTGTATTTTTTTTTTAGAAAAAATTTCAATTTTGTAAATTTCTGAAATATAAAATTACGCAACAACCATCACGAAATGTCGACATTAGCTCTAATGTTCTTCGTGTTGTTTCCTCAATTAAAACTTTAATATCCAAGAAACAAACAAACATTTCACATCTCTATGACAAAACTAAGTCAAGATCAGAAAGAAAGTCAGAAAATTGTTATAAACATTATCCCTGGCAATAAAAATTTATGAATTTAAGGTGCGGTCTCTTATGCAACGGACAAAGAACATTAATGCATCAACAAACCCTAGAGTTACTCTCACTTTCGCAAATTTGTTCTTCGATTTTCCTCTATGACAAACAAATCTTGACCTTATCAACAATAAATTAATTCTCCTGTAAATAATCACACGATTTTGCAACAACACCTACATAACATCTCAGAGGCCTTGATGGTTGGAAATTTGCCGAACATGTCAATTGACCAATATTAATGTTCGATGGGTTATTGACTTTACACTTTTTATCAATTGGAAATCTACTTACCAATAAGTGAATTGTGTGGGTACACAAAATTCCAGTTAAGATAGTTCCTACAACACCGATAACAATTCCAGCAGCAGCCACAGCACTCGGTATGGCTAAAATCCCCGTTCCTAAAGAACTCTTCAAAAGGTGCATCAACGCTCCGGAAAACCTGGAAAGAAGAATCACACCAAACCCAAAAACCACAAATTCGTCTTACGTGTTGGGATGTTCCACATTTCTGTGTTCATAAGGACTGTATTCTTTTTCAGCAAGTGTGTCAACACTACCAACTGGAATTTTGTACACATGATCGGCAAGTTTGGTTCTAATTAAAAAAAAAACACTTTTGGAGGGAATAAATTGAAGAAATACTCACGTCGAGCTGAAATTGTCGACAGTGAATGTCGACGGAAACTTTTCTTTTTTGTTGTCTGTCATGGTTTCTGCTAAAAATCCGATTTAGCAATCAAGTGAAAGCTGCGAAAATTTGGGGAAAACCGCGTCGACATCTATCAATTTCTAGTTTTGGTCACTGAAAATACAATTTGAAATTGTTTTCTGTAATTACACGATTATGAAACGTCATTAACCCAGATCTTTGCCGAAGAGAAAAAAATTTGTGAAACTCACCTGAGTAAGATACAATTAACCAATCAGAGTAGTAGTAATTATTAATTTACCCACTAACACGGTTGTGCGTACTACACATGATGTATATATCCAACAGCAGTACGCGACTATACTAAGTAAATTATAGCACCTGTGATGGTATATATATATTAGTGGAGTCTACACGCTGTCTATACCGAACGGACCAATGTCCTTGCCTTATTTTATATCAACAGAAATCTTGTTGTGTTTAGAATTAACCACTAATCAGCATCCAAAGATTTTCACGAGTCTTTCTTTCTTGACGTCGAAAAGACTCACATATGACGACAATATTCATATATGACATCACATAATTAATGTAAATACAATGCGTTGATGTCAGTATCATAATTTATACTGAATCCTGTTGCTAAAGTTATGCCAAGGCAATTAAATGATAGCTAATTATCGATAATCTATGCTTTCAGCAGATTTCAATATGAGCTTAATTTCCTCTTTCAATACGCTTTTTGCACAGGATTTAATTAAAAAATTCCTCTTCGAACATTCATGACATGTGTAGCAATTTTCTTATCAATTTATAGATTACTCCAAGTGTGAACTTTCGATACACATTTTGATTCAAACTGCCACTCATTCAATTATTGAATGAAAAATAAACTTTAAATAATTCATTAGGAACTAAATTTTTTCATTTGCAGTATATAAATTCGAATAACAGTTGCTACCTTTCTGAATGTTTTTATACTGATTTTACTTCTTGATAAGTCTAATAGCCAGTAAATTCCAACATTAATTACTCATAATAATACCAATTTCATTGTGTAAAACTTACATAAAGTGTGAGAACTGCAAAGAAAAACAAAATAATCTCCACCTGATTAGCAAATATTTAAAATCACATTTTCGCGACCATCGAAAAACAGCTAAAAATTTACTGATCGTTTCTTGGAATAGAAATAAACTTGTTTGATCTCGAAGGTCCCCACAATGACATTTTTCACGAGTCGCTGATCCTTGCGTCAGAAATACATTTTTACTTACTGTTTGGACTTCTGATAAGTTAAGTTGGTAAAAATTGACCATTTGCATTCATTAGCCAACAATTAACTGTAATCTTTTATAAACTTTTGCCATTGACCTTCGAATTCCTAAAGCAGTTCTTCTATTAAAATTCAAAGCAGATCTCATTGCAATTGCCGGAATCGCCGTGTATGCAAGGGTAACATATATTGATAAAAAGTTTAGATATCTCCCAAGCACAACTAAGTCATAGGTAATTTAAGCAATAAATAAATAAATAATAAAACAGGAGTGTCGTTAAAATTTAGTTAATAAAAATGTTTATTTAGACAAAGTTATTTTAATTTCTGTCTAAGTATGGAATTTATTACCTTCTTTATAAACAAAATATATGTAGGTACAATATACCTACTCGTAAATGAATATTTGTATTTTAAATTAGAACCACTAGATATTATGTAGATTTTTCTAATTTTATATGCTTTTTATCTGCCCAATAACCTTTTATCCACTTTTCTTCTATAACGGTTTCTTTTAAAGAAGACTTAAAAAACCATCAATTTCCACATATTTAATGCTCATTTTTTGTTGCAATTGCTGAAAACGTGTCATTGTTTGCCTCATTTCCACAATAAAGTCGATAATAAAACAATAAATTGATTGTTATTACATGAACGAAGACGGAAGTGATACTTGGAGGACTCAAAATTTTCATGTCGTGCCAAATATGGCTATATGATTTTGTCATAAATACATGTTTCACAGCATTGTAATCAAATTGATTAACTTTTAATTTGAACTTTGGTTCAATAATGCCGAGTTATTATGCATTTCCGGTATTGGCCAACAATGGGGAAGTACCTAAATAGGTACATAGGCATGTAAATTTTTCTAATTCTTTTTTGTAAAATGTAGAAAGTCTACTAAAATGAATACAGTATGTCTCCGGATTGGGAAAAAAAAAATATCTTTGATTTTACGCCAAAACTGCAAAGGAAAAACATTTTTTGCTTCATCCGAAACAAGCAAATTTGTACTTAAAACTTCATTATTCTAATTCAGTGAAAAAAAGTGAATTTTTCTCTTGATTTTTGACTCTTGTAAACTCAAACCGGAAACATACTGTATATTGACAAATAATCTTTAGTCAAATTTTTTCATATTGCTACTTTTATAAATTTTTAAGAAGTTATGTACTTATAAAAAGATTGTTTCTTACACAGCATTATTAAAAGTAGTAAACACTTAAGATGTCTACAATAAAAAACACTTTTTTATATGCTTTATATGCTAATAAAACCTACAGTGGGTATTTCCAGAAGTACACCTACATATTTTATGTTTGATCAGTTGATCACTTTAATAGGTATTAAAATAAAATATTGCACAAGTATTTGCCTTTTTTCAAATGTACATTTTAAATTAATGAAACATGATTTTCTTAAGGTGATTAAAATTAATAAGGAAGATAATGACTCATAAGTTGTAATTATTTCAGTACAAAATGTCTCTACTCTAGCTCTGGAGAGTCTTTTTTTAAGTAATAACTATGTGTAGAAAAGAAGATAGGTATAAAAAGTCATTAGACTACAAACAAATCAAATGAAAGGTATTTTATTTTTTTCTTCGATTGTTAAATCAAAACAGCAAAATAGTGAAAAAGTATATTTGTACAATTCTTGCACAACCAAATTTAACAATACTTCAAATTTACTTCTTACTACTAACAAGCGACGTAGAAGTACTATCATTAAACGACACATTATGATGCTTTTGCAAATAATACGAAACCCACTGATTATACTGCGTTCTTTGCCTCGCTATTCTCCACGGCTTATCCCCAAGATCATCATATTTCCTTGTATATCTCATCACCCCTTTACTGAGCTTTTTCCTGTCAAGAGCATACCTCACCGGCCTTATTTCCCCTATACTCGCACTCCTACACTTAATTTCCCCTTCAGAAATAGATTCATCAAGAGGATTTGCCGTAGGATCACTTTGTGAGGTTTGCATCTTTCTTGACGGTTCAAGAATTCGACCTAAAACTCGTCGGTAAAACGGCAAATTTCTCCCAGTTCGCAAAGTGCGATCCATTCCTTCCCCAGCTTCGCCTTTTGGTTGAACTAGACTCATAAAAACGTCTTTCTCATTTGATTTCTTCTCCAAATGCAAGGCATCTTGTGCCATCTTTTGGAAATGTTGCAGACGTTTCATTTTCGTTACTTCAGACAGAGTTGACACTGTGGATGGATTCCCCGGATTTTCTGGACTATCGGTGTACTCGGTTGATCCCACCACTTTTTCTTTTGTCTCTTCAAGCAAAGATAGATCGCTTATTTCTTTATTTAGTTCTTCTTTCATTGTGGGTAGTTTAACTGCAGACCAAGTACTGGGGTCTGATTTTGGGAAACTCGCAGTACTTTTGAGTTTATTTAATTGTTCTTCCGATGTTCCGGTTAATCCTCTTATGAAGCAAGCCACAGTACTTGAATCTTCTTTTGGTTCTTCTTCACTACTCGAAGATGAAGATTCTTCAGGTGATAAAGAAACTTGGATGTTTTTATCGGTTTTTCTCCCCGTTTTTCCACTGGAACTTTGCGATTTCGTATCTTTGAAACTGTCAGTTTCAAGGGTTGGTAACTTATCACTTAATTTTTTATCATCGATTTCAGGTTTTGAAACTAGGACACTTACTTTTGCTTCATTAATACTTTTAACGGTGTGAACTGAACTCTCCTTACTGCGAGTTGTTGACGCTTCACGAGAACGTATTAATCCACTTGGTGATGTTATTAAATTCATAGGACTGATCCGAGGTGGTGAACCAGCATTAGAATAACTACTGCTACTGCTACTACTACTAGCAGAATTCCTTTTGGTGTCTTTCTTTTTGTCTTTCTTCTGTTCCCCACTCGTACTACTGCTACTGCTGCTATCAGAATTCTTGATTTCTCTAGAACTTGAAGATCTCTTACGTTTATGAGGTTCTTGTTCAGCTGGACTTGCTATTGACTGGCTGATACTAGTAACATCTTGGGCCTGTTGTTCATTCAATAAATTTAAAATATCACTCATGTTATAGGCAGGCCCGTCTTGTTGGTCTTTAACTGGAGGTTCCAAAGGATGCACCGATGCAGACACAGATGCAGATGCAGATTCTTGACTTTTCCTAACACCATTCCTTTCTGACAGATCAATAGTCGATCGAATCGCTCTCTTAGGTAAAGCGACTGATTCTTCTGAAGGAGTTCTTATTCCCTCATGTTCTTCTGGTTCTTCTTCCAAACTGCTTCGTTGCGAAGTGGGCGATCGTGGGGAGAATTCAAAAGAACTAGATTTTGGCATATCGTCCGAATCGCTCGGTTTTTGAGACATATCTTTAGGTAATGAAGTTCTACTACATTGTGTGGATTTTGTCTGATAAAAACCAAAATCCCATGGGGATCTCTCATGTATATAATGATGTGGAAGTTCTTTATCCGGTTTAACAACCTCACGAGATGAACAACATTTTGCTGAAACAGGTATTCGTTCTGGTCTATCATACTTTCTATCAGTCTCTGAAATACTTCTGGCCCTTTTACGAGTTATGGTTGATAACGAAAGTTGTGAATCTTTCGGTGCTTCGTCTAAAATTTGAAACGATCTGAACAAAATTAATGCATCTTCTGTTAACCCCGAAGGCCTTCGACTTTTAGATAAAATACTTGCAGTTGGGTTAATAATGTCAGACTCTTTTGATAAAATATGCCCACTTGGCGCTTGTCTTCGATATAAATTGGGTTCATAAATCCCCTGTAAAGGATGACTACAAGAAGCTAATTCTTCTTTAGTAGTACTAGGCGCATTTTTACAAAACTGACTACAAGAAACTAAATCTTCCTGTGTATCATCTCTAGTAGTAGCATGCGCAAGTTTACAACTTCCATCCGGAAGTCTACAATCAGCAGGACATAAATGAACTTTAACTTCTTCATATCCGACATTCCGTCCTTTTTTAGCAATGTGATTAGTAACACTTCCTGTTGGTTTTATACTCAAACTGAGAACCCTCTGCATAACTAAACTTTTAGGAATGTCCACAGGAGGCATTACATGAATTGATAACTTCGATGTTTTTTCAGATGAGGTGTTTCGCATTGGAGATTTAGACTTGGAAGTTGTGGGAGTTTTCTCAACGGCAAGGCTGCTATTTTGAGATTGTCTTTCTAATACGATACTTAAGAAACGGCCCACATCGCTGGTTGAACTCCCGGCAGCCGATTCTGCTGATACATCAGAGTCGAGGTGTTTTTTCGGTTGTTTGAGGTTTATTGGGCTACTAGCTCTTTCAGTTGTTGAAACTATTAAAAAGAGAAAAATCCGAATAATAATGAATGATAATGACAAAAAAAGAAAACTACAGAAAATTTTAAAAGTGGCCCTCACTCCTAATCTTGATCATTGACATGCTTGTTAAAATACCTAAAGATAACATAAAAATAAACTGGTGAGATATGTTATATTTTTTCTCAAATTATCATCATTTAAATTAACATTGGAATCAAATTACTAAAAAAAAAGATTAAATACTTAATTGAATTAAAAATGAGTAAAGTTATTATTTTAAAAATAAATGTTTTCAAGAGCAGAAATACAATAAACATTTCGTTAATCAAACATTTGTCCTTGCGTAACGCTTAAAACAATTGATTAAAAGACCGACCTTTCTTTGTCTGAGTTAAGTATAACTTTTCGTTGATTATTCTAATACAAACCTGGAAATTTCGGTTCAGTTTTCCTCGCCTCGGTTTTCGACGTCAAATCAGTTTCTGATATTTCCGTAATGGCATTTAGTTTCGATTGCAAAATTTCCATGCTTTGTGAGACATCTGTTTGAACACTTAAATTTTCATAATGATCTGTAACAAGTGTTGGCCTAGGTATGAACACCTGTCTAGGACTTGCAGGCTCCTCTTTTCTCATCAATTCTGGTTTCCTAACTTCCCCCTTTTTAACCTCAGCTGGCTTTTTGACAACAACAAGACTGTCATTTTTCTTCGGTTCTGGTGCAATTCTTTTTTTCTTTTCTTCTATAATTTTTTTCCTCTCCTCTTCAATTGCTTTCATTTTAGCCTCTTCTACAAGTTTTCTTACAACGCTCTCAGGCACTGCAGGTTCTTGTTTCTTCTGTTCGATTTTTTTAATTTCTTTCGTAACTTTTTTTTTATCTTCGCTAGGTTTTGGAACCACATATATCAGTTCTCTTCCACTTAATTTTGCGTCACGTAGACTTTGGACCTTTTTTTGTTCCGGAACCTTATGTATACCCTTGCCAATATCTCTCAATGCATTTCTAACTTTGTCAATCAAAACATTCGCTTCTTGGAGCTTCTCTTCGAAATTTATGTCTGGTGCTCCTTGACCCGAATCCAAATCGGTGGAGGACGCAAACGACGCTTTTGAGCGCCATAACGTCTCACACGGTTTAGACCTGAAGACAAAGAAGGTTCGAAATAAATCACCTGATACTAAAAATTCTTTATTGGTTTGTGGAGGAAGTGTAAATAAAAAAGACATAGACATTGATTATCTCATTTTATTTGACATCCACTAACAGCAAAGATTATACAAGCTTTCCAACCAAATTAGATGTCAGTTGTTATACAAATTAACAACTACGAAATGTACAAGATTGACATTGTCAATACAAATATCTGTGCATTTATCACAAATTTCAAAACTCTCAATGTTACAAGTCCTCTATTTTTAGGGCCAAAGAAGTAAAAAATGTAATCCCTCACTTCTGATGGACGTGAAACTCACAATATTTCCAAGGGTTGAAACGTCACACAAAAAATTACAACAGTATTAAAATTCGTTGAAAAGACCCTCGACCTGCTGTAAAATTTTGCGTACCGTTTACGAAAAATCCAAAGTGGAGTGGTTACTTCTGTCAATGAATGGGGTTAACAATGTCGTTTTAGGGTAATACAAGTATTTTATTTACAAGGTCTATACAATAATTCAATGTGGTCGTTTCGTTTGAAGCTTTGTTTAGGAAGAATAAACCGACTTAAAATCAATTGATGAGAAATTAAAAAAATTGAACTGTTCTATTCTTACTAAACAAGCAAACAAATGTGAGGAGACCTTGAACATTAAACATGGTATAAATATACAAGTTAAATGTTATTTTAATCAAGGATTTTCTTTAATTATCGTTCTTACAATATACCAGCGAGTTTTGAGTTCCTATAAATGAAGTGCGAGACACTTCACATTTTGACTAGGTTACTTTCCATAAATTAAAAAAGCCATGGCCCAAATGTACCATTAATAAACGAAGTTTCTAAACTAATAATAAACGGCATTTTTAAAATCTGGTCGATTTTTATGTCGTTAAATAGCTGATGAATATACAATATTTACAGCTTTTTTCAATAAGAGGCCTTTTAGAGTATGAGTAGTTTTAAACGAGAAAATAAAACGTAATCATACTTCAAGTAAATAAATTTCACACTAACAACTAGACAAGTAGTTACAAAAGGTAGAAATCAGTACTAGCTAGTTGTGCGTATTAAATTTATTTTTTTTTCAACACTAAACTAATTCACTTAAATTATATGTTTTGTACACTTTTTTTTGCAAATTTTAGCACGAGTTTTATATACAGTATTTACAAAGTAAAACGTCCAATACACAAAAGCTGAGACAGAAATAATCAGAAAAAGTTTAGGCAAAAATTGATTTGTAAACAAATAAACAAAAACAAATTCTTTCCACTACCCGACTCTTTATATGTACATTTTCGGCGACGTTAGCCATTTTTTTGTTTTTTATTTTTTAATTCGGTGGATATACAATCATAAGACGGACAGTTGGACGATTCGTCCAAGATAAAAACTAATATATTCGACACAGCCTTCTTCGCTTCCATTTAACAATCAACCATTTTACCGACAAACCGTATTTTTTACTAAATCCACCATCTCCAAACTTTCGCCAGCAACTTTTCAACAAATCATCTCTTTCATTGTTTAAAAAGAGACATCTCGACTATTGTCGAGTTAAAGAGAGCCTCGTACTTCGTACTTAGCACATCCAATATTAAGTTTCCCGCTCTTTCTTCACTTTGTACTCCTCGCCGAGTATCGTCGCTATTTCTCCTTGCATAAATGCCCACGGCACGTTTGAGTTCGCTAATGGACACTTTTCACCACTAGGGCAGTACACCTGCAACGAAAACAAAGTTTCTAGCATGGCAACAGCTGCTTTTTGCTATTTATTTACATACTTTATTGCCGATTCGCGAAATGATTATATCACAAAACAATGAAAAAACAAAGCAATTATAAATCCTAATTACAAACATACTTTCGCATTATATGATATTTACACTCTGCAAACGCGACTTGACCTTCTTTATTCGTTTAGACGGTTAATAAACTCGTTATCAAATTTTGATGACACAAGAGACAAACGTATTCCAGACAATAGACGGTGTATGGTGTAAACAAAACCTAAGCAAAATTTACTCAGCTTTCCAGCAAACACCTACTTTGAACAAAATTACGCTTTTATAAAACGCTGAAAATTGTTTCGTATTTTTATTAGTTTTCTAATTTTATTTTTTGTTTTACTTTCTCTTTCTTTGAATCATTATTTTGTTGTTAGTGTTATTACCTCAGAACCGGCCCCCTGTCTCTTGATACTTTCTCTACTGCAAGGGAAACAGAATTTGTGATGAGGTACAGAAGGACACTGAACAAAATGCGTATCCTCCAATCTCTCCTGACAAAGAGTACACTTCAAAGTGGCCGTAGTCGCAGGTGCTGTGGGCGCAACATTATCGCCACTTCCGGTCATAGACTCGGCATTAGGTCCCATAACACCCCCAGCTTCCGTCGAGGTCACCGTAGTCGAAGACACGTGACGAGACCCCGACGATCGTCTACCACTCGACGAACCTACAAGATCTTAAATTCATAAATTTAAAACACCTCTCGAGGGATTCAAATAACTACCTGTCGAATTTGGCGAATGTTGCGAACCTCTCGACGCCGATCGTGGAGCTGCACTACTCGGGGGACTCCCTCCGGCCGATCGGGGACTCCCCGGTGGCAAATTATCGGCCACTGACATAAGGGCCGCCATGGGACTTTGTCCCGTACCACCCGATTGTTGAGTTTGTTGGGTGGTACCGGCGTTAGGATCGGGGGGAGAACCTGTGCGGTTATTTAAGGGAGACCCCGAACTGGAACCATTAGCATTCGCCACTGAAACGGGAGCTAAAAAATAATAAAACATCGTTAATTGTGTTATTTAAGATGAGATGACATAATATGTATTGTTTTAAGCGGAAATTGGTTTATGGCGTGATTGTGTAATTTCCCACGAGTTGTCTTAATGTATCTTAATTTTGCTCCAGAGGACATTGTTTGACCTAGACCCTTTATCCTTGAAAAAAAAAGAATAAACACTACACAGTGGAGTTTCTAACGTTTATCTTCAAAATGTAAGGGACGTTAACCCCGAATAAATATAAATTTAATATTTAGAAAGTGTTGAAGATAACACATAAAAGTAGATTATTAGTTACAAAATAAAACTATAAATAAACCATCAGGAATTTTTTAAAGAATGTAAATTTTGTGATTAATTTATCATTGTTTTTTGGGCAAACAAAACCGTCAAAAATACGAATGAGTAATCCTCTAATGTATAATGAATTATTTGAATGATTAAACGAATAAAAAAAACAACTATGTACTTAATACAAACAAGAAGAGCACAAATAAAGTAACTTCTACTTTTTTCGTAAAATGTCATTAAATAAGGAAAGTACACCAAAGTTGATAAATTAACATCGACAACATCAACATCATTAACTTTATTTCATCGAAGATGTAATGAATTCTCTATTAGAAGTCAATTTTTTCCTTAAAACAAAAGTAGGTGTAAAATGTACTATAGTTGATGAATAATGAATATTCACACTATGCAAAGGACAACAATTCTTTTAACGATTGAATCGACCTTCTCCAGGCAATTATTATTCAAGAAACATCAAGTGAGTCATCGACGACAATTTTACCTAAAGCGCACTATTCAAAACAATTTACATTATTTGTAAATGCGAATGTAAAAATAGAACCTCGAAAACAGGAAAAGCACTAGAACAACAATCGACTAACTATCACTAAAAATTTCACGATAAACATTCACCGAGAAAGAAATAAACACCAAATTCGGCCATGAAAAAATTCCTACCAAACAACAAATTTCCGGAACGCTCAGATAAATTCCTCAATTTGATAAACAAAAACCGGGGATGCACGTGAAACGCAGCGAACGTGGCAACATCGCGCGTGACGCCATTTCCGTTGCCTGCTGTTAAAAATACGTAACGCTTGAAAAAAAAACTTGTGGTGGTCACATTCTCAGTCGACGGACTATAACGAACACCGACGAATATTTCCGAACGCTAAAATTGTCACGATTTACGTCACGAGACACACGAAACGAGGTCACGTGAGTGAAACACGTCGACGTTGCCGCGGCGACCGCCATAATCCCGGATCCGGTGTTGCCGAACCGTTTCGTGATCGGAATTCCTCGACGATTTGTTCCGACATTTAAAATTAATTGATACGAAACGGTGGTACTGGAATGACAATGGTGCGACCTTTATTATCGGCGTTACGTAAAAAGTTGGTTGACATTTACCTCAGACTCCTATTAGCTTTCCAGATTGATGGTAAATACGCGTCAAGAAGATGTTTTTTCATAACTCCCGAAACATGTAAACAAAGAAAAGCGTCGCTTATGCGGCACCTGCGAGACGTGTTTCGTGTTTAATTAAAACACCATCAGTTTACAGGTGCGATTATCGAACAAAAGACCGGTTGGCCAGATGATCGAGAAAAAAATTGATGATATCTGGTTTCCTTTGACCCAAAGGGAGAGGAGGTCCCCTGGTCCCCTATGTGCAGACGGTACAGGTGTTTGATACCGTTCCTTCAAGATACTATTATCTATTTCCTTAACGGACAGATGGCCAGGAAGGAAACGCGACCATCTGTCCGTGAAGGAACAGAGAATTTCTTTCACAAGGACAACGGACTATTTAACCTAATTATTGTCGATAGACCCGCATATACCTGGGACAGATGGGACGTGTAATATCTATGCGCTGTTACATTTACATAACAAGATTATAGCGCATCACGTGACGATGTATATTATTTAAAACCAGTCTTATTTACTATGAACATGCGAACAGGTGTGTTGCAATGCATCGTATTCTAAATATCGACATGCATACCTGTCTTTTCCGATCTTATAATTTCGAGTTTAGAAACTCAAAAACGCAAAAAATTTTCTTGTGGGAAGCACAAAGAGTAATAAAAAATATAAAATTTACGACAAAATGAACAAAACACCAATTGTTACGCCAATTTGAGATAACAAAGTTTATTTATTAAGAACAATGAGCAATTAAAAGCCCCACGTTTTTATGTCCGACCTGATTAAAGCAATTGATTTGACATTAAATAGAAATCGGTTAGGTCACCCCCTAATGAAAACAATTTGAATTTGAAATGTCGCTCGCCTTTAACATGCTTTCACAGTTTAATTATCAAAAACACAAAGGAATGATTCACGTCCTTATCCCAATTGATAATTATTTGATGCGGTTTGTAAAACCAGGTCGAAAGACGGGTTTCGATTCTTTTTTCTGCAATCGACAGATGCAAGTCGAGGGTTGATCCGTGGGAAACTAACCAAGGTCATACAAAACGCTAGGACTGGTTTATACCATACGGCCGTTCTTGCAGCAATTATTATTTATCGAACAGGTCTCGTCGTGTGTGGTAGGCATCAGTAATGAACTCTATTGTGAGAAACTGATGGATTTTATTAATTTCCATGTCGCGGGTGTATTACAACACGAATTGAGGGAAATTGGAGCGACCGTATCCCGTAATACTAGGAAATCAAATTATGAAACACAAACAGGAAAGGCTGATAATTTTGAGGTGTAAAATGGAACATGTAGGTAAGCTAGAGCCTTAGTCAACGTTCCCACCGGTACCACCTGAGGGTAAAAAAAAAAGAAATCCGATCGGTGTCAGAAACGCAACGGTAAACAGAGAAAAGGGGGCCAAGTGAGCCGGAGCTAGGCCAGGTAAACATCCATTAAAACCATCTTATCTTCTGGGAATGCCTCGTTTGTGAAAGCCGATGTAGTGACGTAGCCAGGTAAGAACCGGTCGTACGAGACAGACCGACAACCGGTCTTGTGCGTGTAGCTCTCGACTACAACCTAAGATCCGTAATCCATTTGGCTCGTTGACTGCTTTTTTACGTCACAAGGTTGACTCTGCGACTAGTGAAAGCGTGCACACACAGACGCCAAACTTTTGCACAATGGAATTTCGAAATTCGAAGCCGTTCACCTTTGTTATCACTGGACGAAAAAGGGGCTCGATTTATTTTTATTGCGGAGCGGACGTGTCAACATGCAGCTACGGCGCTGCTTTCCAAAATAAACATTACGTAGGCAACGCATGTAAGAAATAGAATCAGGATCGAGGATGAAACACGTTCCCCTTTAAGCCCAACGTTTTGAATGTCAAACGCTTCCAGCTTTGTTTTCGAAAAGCGGCCGATTTATGTTGATGTATAGCGTCATCATTACGTGTATAGAATGGCGTGACGTCACGCGAGATTTCCTTTAAATGATAGGACGCGTTTTGGAATAAGGAGGAGATAGCGGTTAACCACCTCAAATAGATTGCTTCCTCACCATTGGGTTTGAAAGCGGTGGCGGTATCAAACGACGCCGTCCTAAGAGGATGCTTCTCCTGCTTGAAGGTCCTCTCGGTCGAAACGACAAATGGTTGTGCCAACGAAACCGCTGGAAGCGATTCTCCTCTAGTCAACGGAGGTCTAACCGCGTTACTGTGTTCTTCTACCGACATCATCCTCTTAGCACCATTGATATCCCCATTAGCGTGATGCAAACCATGATGGTCGTCGTCATCAGCCGTCGACAAGCCCCGTTTCAAGCCTTGTTGTTGCATTCCGGGTCTTCCATTGGCGGAATGATGATGACTCTGGAGTTGGTGATGAGCCAAATGCGTCGCTGAGGGTAACCGGACCGTAGGTCGCGCTACCAGAGCCTCAGGCTCCTGTGTAGCCTCCATTTGTTGGGGTCTAGGTATAGCCGTTCCGCGAGGCGGTAAAGGCTGCTGCTGGGCTTGGTAATCCGCCAACATCCCGGATCGCGGATGATGTAAACTGTACGTTCCAGAATGGTGCGTGGTGGCCTGCTGGCGGCTCGACGTCGCCACCACTTCTCCGTTTTGGTGCTCGTGGCTGGAGGCTGCCGTCCGGTGGCTCTTATGCGAGGCCGATCTTTGCTCCTGGAAGCCGTGAGCTCGTTTCATCTGTCGTGCCGTCTCCAGGACGATCTCGATCCTATCGGCACCCTCGTAATTAACACATCCTCGACAGACCGGTTCGGAGAAGTCGTGCACCATGGCCCATGGCATCCTGGGCAGGTCGCACAAATAGCAATGCTGACGTTTCGCCTGCTGCATCTGCATGACCGACATCTTCACCATCTAACGATTATTTCCGTCACTGATTCTTGCGGAACAAACTACTGTCACTACGGACACTACGACATAGTCGCGGATACACTCTGAGCACATCCAAACGCTGCTGCGCTAGAACTAACTGAACTCAACGATCAACGCAACGACGGCGGTAACGGGGCCAGGGGAAAGAGTCGACTGGCTCGGTAATCGTTAGCTTGATGACGTCACGAGGCACAGAACACCAATAGCAATAAGGTCTACGTCACATTTTGCGCGCGCTGCATTCAACAACGAGTGCTGGAATAAATCCTATCCTAAAGAACAGAACCTACAAGAGTCACTTCATTCGACTACAACGTAAATTAACAAAAATAACAGAATCACGCTTGGCCGACCAACCTGTCTCCGACGGGAGGTCGAACAGTCGACTTGACCTGAATTCCACACTCAACTCAACTCAAAAACGGACAGGAACTTCTTATCAACCCTTAACAATCACAAAACTTACATCCAATAGGCAAATGACGCACTCCTTAACCTTTCGTGCGATTTTCACAGGACAACACGCAAACGCACAATTCGTGCTTCCCTTCGAACGTTCTTCATTTTTACCCCGTTCTAGATATTAGCGTAGGTCACGAATTTACTATTCGATACTTCGTTCCTACAAAAACAACACCTTTGGTTTCCACATTCTTGATAATTTAAAAAATCGGAAAACTTGTTTTTTTTGTTTTTTACAACCCTAACATGCTTATATTTACAAAATGTTGTTAAGGTTAATCCCAAATACCATAGGAAGTCAATCAATATAGAATATTCGATCAGCGATAATGTAAATATACTCAGAATTCAACAAAATATGTTTGTGTGGACGACAGAACTTCATAAATAATGTAAAAAAAACGGCGAGTTATCAATAGTTATGTCTATCACTTCGTATGGAATAGTTGCGCATCTAAAATTAGCCTACTGATAAATATACAAAAAATTCAAAAAAAATACAGTTAACCTCGCCAATGTATAATTTACTTCGATCATTACATGATACGTAATTCATGTTATATAATAACATCCAATCATCACCCTTTGCTTTAAATAAACGTTTTATAGTATCTTCTATGGAAACCCAAACAACATAAACATGCTATCATAGAATTTAAAAGAGAAATCCAAACATTTGATAACGGAAGTGTAAAGATCATAAGGCACGTGAGCTAACCGTGATACGTCATCTTTGAGTTCGTAGTTTATTCCATTCTGACGTAACATCATAATGAAAAAATACTGATATGTTGGATGAGTAAACAACATCGGGGTTCTTGCATATCAATGTTTTGGTGATGACCTGAATCAACACACTACGTAGATCAGCAGCTACTCCAAACCACACTCAAATAAATTTAACATTTTTCGAAGTTTACTCACTGCCTAATTAATAACAAGCAGACTGTCTCCAAATTTATGATTTCATACAAGTGTTTACACAAATATGAATCAACAAACTTGAAAAAATAATTAATTTAATTTGACTAATTAATTCATTTCGTTGGCATTTATGATAAATTCTCCAGAAATGGTTTGTTTACGAATACGACACAGTGCACTTATCAGTCTAATAACACTGAGAACAAGCTTTTGTCTCTTGACGGTAATCAATCAACCATACAGTTGATTTAAATTTAAATGGTTAATTCCATAAGTCGCGCAGGGTGCATAGGCTTATTTGCATTAAAAATAGGGTGCAGTGAACGCTAAAGAGTGACCGATCGATTTTTGTCTGGTCGTTATCCAACTTACATCCCGGCTATTTAACGACGCAGGCGTTATGACCCCATCTTCTATAACGAGAAGACGCAATGGGGAAAAGTGAACCGGAAATTATTTCCTCGACTTTCGGAAAATCGCGCCGATTTTCCCGCGTCTGGAGCTAGTCAAGGTTTAATTTTAGCCTGCCCCAAGGCCTGCTTAGTGTAATAAACCCTAAAAGCCCCATTCACATCCTGTGCTTGCACTTGGCGCTGATATTTCGGTATTTATAAACTCAAAGGCATGCAACCCCGATTTAGCAACCCCTCTTCACACAGCCGCTATTTTTTCTACGCCGACGTTAAAAATATAGGTGCCGGCGTGTATCTCAACATGTTTATAGCACGAATGTTTTATACCAGAACATAAAGTCATGAATGGCACGTCTCCAAACGTCATAAATATAAATTTTAATAGCAAACCAAAGGTGCTGGCTGCCAGGCGAACTGTTTATATTCCTGGAAATTATATTACATTTACGTATGTACATTCGTATTTTGCTAATTTTATACCAATGGCTTTTGGCAATTGACCCAACCCATTCGATCTATGTGTATACATCAACCAAACCAAATAATCAGCTATTTTTGGACGGCTATCTATAACACTTTGACGGCTTTCACTAAAACCAGATGTGTGCATTAGAAACGATTGGACTTATCGTATGGCTATGAATTGAGTTGATTTATGATTGTTAAGAGCGATGTCAAGTAAAATTCTAGGTGTTCATTTCGACTAATTCAAAAACTTCATCCAAGTGAGAGGAAAAACACATTAACCCAAAAAGTGAAAACTTCAAATAAATAACTTCTTTACTGAAGATCTGATCACTTTCATTAGCCTCATAAACCCCGAAAAGTGATCCCGAGAAAAGGGAATTATCCAGGAACTGTTCAGCAAGATGTAAACAATCAAGTCGGGCTAATTGCACCATAAGCCACGTTTAATGCAAACTACCGAGTTATTAAAATAGCGTCGACGCATAATAAAGCGTTGCCAAGGATATTTACAAGTGAATCGATCCTACGTTGGAAGCCATTCCTATTCGAGTAAATGAACTTTTCAAGGGGAAACCGAAGCCGTGACCATGCATCTTACATTCTAAATTAATCGAGGCCCCCAGCACTCCACACTAATCTCAAAATCAATAGATGAACGTGTGGCCTCGCCTCTAATGAGATGGCAACCCCAAAAAAACTTCAAAAAAACAAACACCTTGACCTTAAATTCCACAAATAATATCAAAAATCAATTCCCAGTGGAGGTATCGATCCCACTTCCGTATCACATATCAGAATGAAATACCTCTCTGACACGAATTTCTAATCCTGTATCGATTTCGAGAATAGGCCAGAAGGTTCCAGAACCGCTCTTGCTTTTACTTTCTGGAACTAAATTCGAAAAGACCCTTCATATTTCAGATTTATTCCAGTCAGAGCGAATCTCGTCTGCAATTCCGTCGTCCTTTGAGTTTTTATCGTTTTTGCGCCAAGAATACGAGCACGCGGTCTTGCTTGCAGACTTGGCAGCGACATTGCAAAAGAAAGAAAAATCGGATGGCGAGCTCTGCACGCATATTTGCAATGTCGCCGGAACGAAATGCAGCTTGTTTTAAGGTGAGGGGAAGATGCTGGTAAGTGATGGTTTAGGGGAGTCTAAAGGGGACATCTTGGAACTTGTTGGCAAGCGAATCGATCGGCGTGACGTCACAACCGGGACAGTACATTCCCAGGGAAAAATTTACGATTACGACCGAGTACATTCGGAAGATTTGTAGAGAATTTGCTTATTGTGCAAGCCAGCTGCACGCCCACGCTGCCCGGGAAAGACGCCGAGCGTCCGACGTTATCGACGCCTGAGAGAAGAGAACTTTAACGCTTTCGTTTTTGATGTGCTTTCGCCGTTTTACACCAAATGCCACTATTAAAAAGAATTAAGGATATTTACTGACACTTCTATGAAATGTTTGCAGAGTTTTTGGTGGTTCTACTATTATGTTGTATTAATTAAATTTTGTATTTTTTCTATTCCAGTTTATTATGACAAAAATTTTCTTACTTTGTTAAAAAAAAATCTTATATGTACCACATGTCCAAATATGTTTTATTGAGTACTTTGTCCATTTATCATAACAAATTATTATTAATAAGTTAATTAGAAAGAATTTTGTTTCCAATATTTCTGTTTTGAGTAAAATTTGCGACAAGCAAAAAATAACCCCTTTTACGACCACAAAATTCGCTGACATTTCCATACTGAAATAACCGCAACATCATTACCATTCATGAGCAAGAAACTATGATCTATTTGTTTACGTTTCCAGCGAGCAGATGTGCATGTAATAATACTGCGTGTTATTTTACTTGGTACGTTTTCATCGAGAAATTCATATTTGTTCCCCATGAAAAAAATTATGATGTCAACTTTTTAAATAAATTAACAACATGTCAGCGCTCGTGTCCATAAATAATAGATGCGATTTAAATCTATTTAATTTTGAGATGCAGATCATGTTTTCTATTTAAAATTAATCATTTTTAAGAGCAAAACAAGACATGTCCATAAAGAAAACAGTGGAGGTCTTTATCTTGTAGGTAGCCTCTGACAAAAATTTAGAATTGTAATGTTGTGTGGGTTTTACTGAATTATGACTTCCCACTTCAACAGTAAAGTTATCTTTAAAAAATACATGGTTTATCGTCACTATTAAAACCCACAGCAATTGATATTCATGAATTATGACAGGCTTCTGCTATACTGACATATTAAAATTTGTATTTTTTAAAAGGTAACGACTTTAGTATCTAACAGCCTTATCAAAAATTTATTTAAAATCATATCAGTAAATAGATTTGCAAAAACTTCCGGAGGCGTGTTATTTGGACAAATTTTACTGATGTGTACTTTGGCAAAGTGTAAAAAACTCTAATAGCTCATTCACTGATGATAACAAAACTTATCAACATTTGAAATAATCGATCATTCCCGAACCTTGAAAAATAAATCGGAACTTTTATATTAGGAAAATTATAAAAAAAAATTAATCGACGATAAATTTTCACTGTTTTCATACCAAATAGTTTACTAAAAAAAAATCCATTTCAAAATTAATCTTTATCAATATATTCTCCACATACCACACTCTGTTATCAAAGTTTTATCGCGCTTTAAGGCTATTTATCGCATGGGAAAAAGAAACGTAATTTTGTAAAGCTTTTACAACATACCTTAAGTGCAATATCATGAATATGAGCTAATTAATTTAGAATAATTTATACACGCTTACGTTAAAACTAAAAAATGTTAATTTAATTACATTTGCTTCATAAACCTGGAAACAAAACCGTTAAAATTTTCCCGAAATAATTTTGTTGACTGTTGAATCCAAGGGCGACCGTCTAAGTGGGTCCACCTCCAAAAGTTTGTTTTCTTTATTGTCTAAACTACTGTT